CTGTCTACATCTCCAACCCGACATGGGCCAACCACAACCAGATCTTTGGCAATGTCGGCCTGCCCATCGCCCAGTACCCCTACTTCTCCAAAGAGACAAAGGGCCTCGACTTTGAGGGCCTCAAGTCTACCCTCTCGTCCGCCCCCGAGCGCTCCATCATTCTTCTCCACGCCTGCGCACACAACCCCACCGGTGTTGACCCAACGCAAGAGCAGTGGAAGGAGATTGCTGCCCTGATGCGCCAGAAGAACCACTTCCCCTTCTTCGACTGCGCGTACCAGGGCTTCGCCTCCGGCAACCTCGCCCAGGATGCCTGGGCTGTGCGCTACTTCATTGAGCAGGGCTTCGAGCTGCTCATTGCCCAGAGTTTCGCAAAGAACTTTGGCCTCTACGGCGAGCGCGCCGGCTGCTTCCACTTCGTCACAGCCCCGGCCTCCGACGCTGCCGAGACTACAAAACGTATCGCTTCCCAGCTCGCTATCCTTCAGCGCTCCGAGATCTCAAACCCCCCGTTGTACGGCGCCCGCGTCGCAGCCACAGTGCTCAACGACCCCGCGCTCTTCGCCGAGTGGGAGGACAACCTGCGCACAATGTCCGGCCGCATCATCGAGATGCGTAAGGTCCTGCGTGCCAAGCTCGAGGAGCTCGGTACCCCTGGCACATGGAACCACATCACCGACCAGATCGGCATGTTCAGCTTCACCGGCCTGTCAGAGACGCAGGTGTTGAAGCTGCGCGAGGATGCTCACGTGTACATGACCAAGAACGGCCGCATCAGCATGGCTGGTCTCAACACGAGGAATGTCGAGTACTTTGCCAATGCGGTCGACAAGGTTGTTCGTGAGACGAAATGAGATTGAGATTTCTTATGACGTTTTGTATGAATGTAAATGGGTAAACATGGGGACCGGATATGTCCCTCTCAACGGTGTGGCAAGACAGTTGGCAGGAAGTGGAAAGAGGGAAAGAGAAAAAAAATCCTTAGATTTCCTGGCTCTGGAGTAATGACCATCACCTCTTGTTCTTGATGCATATTGCTGGCCTCTACTGGTCACTCGATGAAGCGTGTGATCTGTGAGACTGCTATCAATGTCCACATAAATCTACAATGTGTCGCTCGTGACGTGGATAGTCGCCGAGATTACTCTCCTGTGTGGCCAACCTGCGGAGGGAGAGAATATCAGAATGTAACATGAGATGAGGCGAGCGGCGAGCGGTGAGCGTGTCGAACTAGCAAATCTCTCTCCTTCTCTTGTCCTATCTCTTACTCACCCTCTCTATCTGTCCTTTCATTCTGTCTGTCTCTCGGTTTCTGCTATCTCTATCTCTCATTTTCTATTGTCTATCTCTCATATTCCATTATCTCTGTCTCTCGTTCTGGAATGTCTCTATTTCTAATTTTGTATTATCCTTGTCTTTTATTCTCTATTATCCCTGTCTTTTGTTTTCTATCATCACTGTTTCTTAACTTTGTTTTTTTATATTTTCTTTTAAGTATCTCTGTCTTTAGTCTCTATCATCCCCGTCATTCATATTATCTATATCACTAGATTTCCATCATCTCTTTCATTCACTCTCTGTCGCCTTTATCATTCGTTCTCCGTCACCTCTATCTCTCCTTTCTACTCTCTCTATCTCTTTTTAATATCTTTCTTTTATATCTCTCTTTTGCATCTCCCTCTTATCCTCTCCCCTCCCCTCGTCGTAAGCACATACGAATACGAGAACGCAAGCCAATATTAGCCAGACCCTAAGTCTTAACTTAAGGTATGCCGATACTCAAGGTTCATTAGACCCGCACTAAGACGAAGGCCGCCATCGACATCAGTGGGTTGAATTCGACTTGTTCAATAAGCAGCGGGCAGGTGCCGCGCTGCTGTAGAGCCCAACGTCTCGATGGAAGCTCTCGTCGCAGCCATTGTCATTCGTGAAGACGGGGTCTGTGGGGGATCGATTTATAGACGCTAGTATTCGAGATTCCCTAGACCCGGCACCAGTACACAAGATTGCGAAGGGCCATTATCGATATCAGTTGTTTGAGTTGGACATCTTTAGTAAGAGGCATCGGGCGCCGGTGACGCCAAGGAGTAGAACGTCTCAACGGTAGCTCTCGTCGTAGCTATTGTGGTTCTGAAGACGAGGTCTGTGGAGTGCTGCTTTATAGGTGCTTTCAAGGGGTCATGATACCGAGGTACAGGGTTTGCTTTGACATGCTTCGAGGACGAGATTTTGTGATTCCGTTTTGTGAAGAACGGTTTTTGTGAGGGATTGCCTTACGGTCCTTGACCATGGTCGTTGTCGTAATCATCATCGTCGTCGTCATCGTCGTCGTTGTGGTGCTAACAGACCCCTGGGAAGCAAAACTCCCCTCACCACGGCATGTTGAATGTTCCGGTACGAACGGCCGTTCCAAATAGCTTGCTTTCGCCAGCAATCAAGCTTATGTCAAGCGCACCGGTATCAAGCAGTTGGGTCGTCAGTCCATGCCTTCCTTCTGCAATTCTCATCGGATATCAAAATCGTTCGGATGGAGGCCTCGAGTCGGGAGCATTCGGATATCGTAGGAATCGGATTAGACCTCGCCTCCACTTTTTTTCTCTTTGAGCTTTCACATAGCCAAGTCTCCGTAATAGCTGAGCAGCAAAAAGCAAAAGAGACTTTGCAATCCTTCCAAAGTCTAAGAGATCAAAAAGACTAGAAATTCCTAAGGGACAGAAGTTCAGGGACGACGTCCCGATTATCTAGTCCCAATCCCTCGTGGCAATCGGCCCTTCTCTCGGGACTCTACGGTTACCGGGCGCACCCCACCTCCCTTGTGCCCCCCCGGTCTCCCGCGATGCCGGTAGAGAGGATTGAGGGGGAGGGGCAGGGTTGACTATGATTTTCCCGCCTTGCGGTTGAGAACCTATTGTGGGAGTACTGTGTGTTGTTTTATGGGGGAGATGGAGCATGTCGAGGACTTTTGTTTGTCCTCTATTCGGTTTGAACGGAGGACACATTGCCCGCGTAATGTCTATCGTTTCTGCTATAATTGATTTGTCTTCTATACTCGGGCGTGAACTACGTGTGTCAGTGTGACAACTGTTGCTGAAATCCTGAGCTCGTTCAAGATGGATTGTGGTTGACAGCAGCCAGTTCTGCTCCAATGAGATGCCGTTGACGTTTCCCCGCAAAGCCTCACCCGCCCTCCGGGTCAAGATCAACGTCGTGGCTCATGGGTAAATCCTAGGGTACTGAGGAATTGGAGAAGAGGTTTTGCCCCCGGCACATCCTCTGGTGGTAGTCCTTGATATTTACCCGGCCAGGTCTACCATGAAATCTTGCATCCTCGCGTTCCAATAGCTACAGCAGTCCGATCCGCGGCTGACACGCGGGCTCCGTCTTCGAGTCCGAGGAGACCAGTCGGTGCTTGGTATGGATTAGAATGGTACTGCACGTAAGGCGTGCAGGGTTGGAGCGTTACATCTTTTTTCAGCTGGTCAACCGCACCGTTGGGATGAACATGAAGGTTAGGGTCGGACCCAATGCAATGCTAAGTGAGGACAGTATGTGGTGGGCAACATCTCGGATACACAGGGAGTAGGAAATTCGACAATCGCATTGAAATAGATGAACATGCAGACACTTGCCCGGCCGGTGGGAGCAGGAAGCGTTGCTATCAAATCCTTAGACCATGTGGTGACACGGCAGAAGTGTGTACCTTATGGTTGAGTAAGGTTCTTTTCGTCCGCATCCTACACAGCTCGCCTCGAATAAACGAGCTGTGCCGCCTTACTGCGCTGAAAAGCCATCTCGGCGTCAGTCCGCATGAGCACCTGCATTTAGAGTAACCCGACATTGATCAGAACTGGGTGTGAACTTGAGCGCGGAGAGTCCAACTGAAGTCTCGCACTCCCGTACCTGAAAGCTGCGAGTGCATTTTGGTTGAAAGCATCCTTAAGCTTGTCATCGAACGGAGTATTCCGTAGAGTCCAATAAGCCAAAGTACCTCACTCCTCGGACTTCCGTAGCACGACCTCGGCAAAGGAAACGAAATCTCGCTTCTGGCCACCCCGAATGACCGAATACGGTAACGGCGCCAAACTCCCCTCCACCCCCCAATCCTCTGATAAAGTCACAGCCAAGCCAAGCACCTCGAGAAAACGAACCTGATGCTGATCCAGTTCATTCGGTTTCCGTAAGCAACAGGCGGAAAACTAACCAATGAACCGCCTTCTTGGCTCCTGGCCTTTCCCCAAACCATCCAAGTTGTTCTAGCGGAGATGCGGAGTTGAACTCCCACAATCCTTCCAAAACACCCCATGCCCATAAATTAAGCAGCGAACCATCTGACCAACGCCCATGGGGAAAAGCAAAGACCATGTGGGGGAAGGGAAAGCTTTCCCCGCATATCATTGAATGTTGTTGCTCCATTGTTTGAGATGAACGAGGTTTCCTCACTGGATGGATAAATGCAAACAGCAGTTCAATTCAACCCCAACCCCGACCTCCTAGGCATTTCTTGGCGAGAAGTATGGCCCCCGGCTCTTTGTGAGCGTGTCCCCGATGCAACAGTCATCTCATTCGGACCTTCTGCCACCTGGGATCCTGGCCGACGCCGCTTCCCTCTCCCGCCGTCCCGCCTTAGCCTTCTCTGGCTTTGGCTCACTCTCTGCCGGAATCTGGCCATTATGCTGATAGGTTCGGACGTATTGAGACATGGGGTCATTCCTTCACGGCAGTGCGTATGTATATAAAATACCTGAGTGGGCCTCGTCGGAAGTTGGAGGTGAGAGAGTCTACGGATACACTGGAGAAGCGTTGGAGTCGCGCGCCCTTGAATACATACACCCCCTTGAACGCCCAGGGACGAGGACTCGGTAACATATACTTCCGTCTACTGAATAGAGAACTACTTATTCCTTATACCACCCTCATCGACTGTCACCTTTCGACGCGTCGTTGAGAATCTCTTGATCGATCTACCATCTTCTTCAGCGAGCCGCAGTTCATTCCTCACAATGGTCCAGATCAAGCGTGCCCAGGAGACCGGGGCGGCGGACCCCATCTTGACCCGCATCTCGGAGGAGGACAAGGTGCCGTGGTACCAGAAGCCGAACCTGCGATACCTCTATCTGATGCTCTTCCCGACGTGCATGGGTATCGAGTTGACGTCCGGTTTCGATTCGCAAATGATTAATGCGCTGCAAATTGTGCCATCCTGGAAAGACTGTAAGTTGGTACAGCGAACACACTTGAAAATTTGAAGTTGACCATATTCAATAGACTTTGGAGATCCGCAGGGTAGTTTGAAGGGCATCATCGCCGCTGCGTATTCCCTCGGCGCCATTCTGTCTCTTCCCTTTATCCCCATCGTGAACGACAGGTTTGGACGAAGGTGGTCCATCTTTGGCGGCAGCTTGGTCATGGTTGTTGGAGCTCTCATCCAGGGATTCTCTCAGCATGGTACGTTTGGCCGTCTTGTCGCCCGCACTGGTCTCGAATAAAACTAACTTTTGAGAAGTTGGCATGTACATCGTTGCCCGCATGATTCTTGGCTTTGGTATCCCAACATGTATCGTCTCCGGATCGTCTCTCATTGGTGAATTGAGTTATCCTAAGGAACGTCCTGTTCTGACCTCTCTGTAAGTATTCGAGTCTCTGTGGGACGAAGTGAGTAGACTGATGGATTTTCAGCTTCAACGTCGCGTACTTCGTTGGCCAAATCGTGGCCGCCGGTATCTGCTTCGGTACCAACAACATCGCAAGCAACTGGGCGTGGAGAATTCCCTCCCTCCTTCAAATCTGCCCTTCTCTTTTGCAAATCACATTTGTCTTGTAAGTGATCTCCCAAGGAAACATGCAACCGCATGCTTCTTCGACACATCTGACATACCACGCTTCCAGCTTCCTCCCGGAGAGTCCACGATGGCTCATCACCAGAGACCGTAGCGAAGAAGCCCACGACATCCTCATCAAGTACCACGCCGAGGGCAACCGCGATTCCGAGTTCGTCAAGGCCGAGATGGCGCAGATGAAGACCGTCATCACCCTCGAGATGGAAGCTTCCAAGCAGTCATGGATGGACCTTCTCAACACGGCCGGTATGCGCCGCCGTGCCCTCATCTCTTCCATGCTCGGTCTCTTTACTCAGTGGTCCGGCAACACGCTCATCTCGTAAGTTTGCCAGTGCTGTTTATGAAGCAACACCTGAATAGCGGCTAAAACGGGGGATGCAGATACTACTTGGGTGACCTGCTCCAGATGATCGGCTTGACCGACTCCACTGTCAAGCAAAAGATCAACCTCGGCATCGCCGGCTGGTCCCTCGTCTGCGGCTTCACCGTAGCCATGCTCGTGCGAACCTTCCGCCGTCGCGTTATGTACCTAGCTTGCACAATCTCACTGGTATGTCTCTCCCAACATCTCGCCCCAATCTCCCACTCGCTCACAGTCTCCTCAGCTCCTCTGCTACATCAGCTGGACAATCTCAATGGAACGCGCCGTCCACGCCCTCGATAATGACTACAAGAACCAGTCCGCCTCCGTCGCGACAATCTTCTTCATCTTCATGTACTCGCCCTGCTACAACATCGGCTACAACGCCCTAACGTACACTTACCTCGTCGAGCTGTGGCCCTACGCCCTGCGATCGCGCGGTATCTCGCTTTTCCAGCTCTTTGGCAGGCTGGCCGGCTTCTTCACGACCTTCGTCAATCCAATTGGCATCAAGGAGGCGTCGTGGAGGTATCTCATCAGCTACTGCGTCTGGCTCGCCTTCGAGGTTGTTTTTGTGTACTTTATGTTCCCTGAGACTGCGGGACGTACGCTTGAGGAGTTGGCTTTCTGTAAGTTTCTCGATTGTCCCGCTTGGTGCGTTATCTTATTGCAAAGATGGCTGACGATTGTGCTTTGCCAGTATTTGAAGACAAGGCTCTTGCCGACCGGGCTGTTGGTGCTGTCGAGAAGGTCATCCATCATGATGATATGGACACTATTGGCGAGGTCAAGAGCGGAGGCGGCAATACTGAAGTGGTTGAGAATGTCGGTGCTAAATCTAAAGTCTGAGCTGGTTAGGATTAGTGAAACTTTAGTGAAGCCTTGGAAGCCGAGAAGCATAGTGATAATTACGTGCAGCTGTCTATGCGTTTAACACATCCGTACTTTATTTTAAAGGAATGACCTCACAATATGTCCACTAAGCAATCCATATACGATGACGTGAAACTACGCAGGCAAACACGAATCCGTTTTAGCATGACGCAGCTGGCATGAGTGATACTGTTCGGCACTTCACTTGACTGAGTGCGGCGTGTGTCAGCCTGCGTCAAAGCCTGTCACTCATGCAGAAGTACTCACCATCTGACTGGTTAGAGGCCACCGCCTGCTGGTATGCTGTCACCCTCTCATCAGAAGCTCAGCCTCAATGGTCTGCCTTGTCTGGTACGCATTTATCGCTCACTCGAGCCTACGCACATTTATTGCTTCTTTCCATCAAAGTTCGCTCTTCCATGCGATTTACGATGATTACAGATCCCGCCCAAATCGAGCTTCACTTTTCCATTCTAGCGATTCATAATGAATAGACTTCACGCATTGCGGGCTATGTCCCCGCGAAGAAAGTCCCCAACAAGTACCGATCGTAGAAGCAACCGAGATCCAAGTACCGACAACGCCATACACTTTTGGCTTTTGGAAGCAGAGAAGCTACAACCAGAACAGCGAGATATGCTTCTGAGGGGTTCATCAACTGAAAGTTACGATGACTACGTCGTAGAACTGTCACGCGCCGTAGGCAGCTCTGTCGATTCAAGCAGAGTCTCCAGACTAGCCAAGAAAATGAGACCTATCCACGTTCTCGTCAAGTCTCTACATCCCTTGATGGCAGGTGCAGGCCAGGTCAACCCGATGCCTACGTCTCTGATACTCGGTGGAATCACTTTCATTGTATCTTTCAGCAACAGGGTGGAAGAATACCAGAATAAGCTGGTTGAAATGCTCGAGTGGATGGGCGACGAGATTGACATCATCAACAAGTACAGGGAAGAGGACCTGACGGGGAACGATCCTGACATCAAAGCTTGTGAGATTATTCTTGCTACTGACATCCTCAAGACCTGCATCAAAGTCGTCAAAACCTTTTACGATGAACGCGGCAGAGAGAAAAATGGTTTCATCTTGGCAATGAAAGCACAATGCCAGGATTTTGGTTCGAAATTTGGAGACATCAGTGCTCAGTTCAAACTGCATTTGGGTGCTCTGGAGAAGCGCAGAAGAATTGTCAACGCTCGAGGCATCAAATCTCTCACGGCTGGGGTCGGTAACATCGAAAGAGTACTCGGCGGAAAGCTGAAAGACTCTCTGGAAGCTCTTCCTCTACCCGAAAAAGAAGCCAAGAACAAAGAAAATGGTGAGCAGCCAGAGATCGGAGATCGATGGAGTAATGCTCAATTCCAACTTCCTTTTCTAGATGAAAGTCGCCGAAGATTCCTCGCCTGGCTTCCCTACGTCAACTTCGGGGATATCCATGAGAATCATTTTGAGAGGAGAATTCCTACTTCTGGCGACTGGCTCCTCCGCAATGAGAAGTACCGACTCTGGAAGGAGAGCGCCAACTCGGACTTACTCTGGATACACGGCAAACCAGGTTCAGGGAAATCGCATCTGGCAGCCCGAGTGATCAGCGAATTGGCTACGCCAATAGCGACACAAGTGACATCCGCCATGGCGTACGCTTACTGCACTTCTAATCAAACAAAGACCAGACTGACGTACAATAATCTGCTGGGCACGATCCTGGGACAATTGTATGAGAAGCTATCTGCGTCTGAAGGGATACCCACTTTGACGAGACAAGCAGACGCAGGAAGCAAAGCAGAACTCTCTCGGAGTGAACTAAAAGAAGGCATTAACCTTGTACTCAACCGCCTGCGCTCCGCGTTCCTCGTAGTAGATGGCTTGGATGAGTGTAGCCACTTTGAAGATCGCCAATTTGCCGACTTTTGCAACTTTCTCGCCAGCCTAGCCGACTCGAAAGACTCGGATCTATGCACCAAGATACTAATTTTTAGCCGTCCAGACTACACTGCCATCAGGTCTGCTATTGCCCACTTTCCCACAATTCGTATCGACATGGGGGCAAATGACGAAGACATCAAGGCCTATATTTCATCCAAAGTCGAAGAGATCAACAGTGATCCATCGCCCGATGAACGAGAAGGCTTTGAAGACATCAAGAAGATGATGTTCAACAACGCCAGCGGGCTTTTCCTGTGGGTTCATTTCAAGTCAAGGCACTTCAGAGAGATTGGAAGCGTAGAGGATATTTTGGAAACTCTTGGGGACAAAACGGAAGGACTCGACGAGCTCTACGGCGAAGAGCTCAAAAAGATACTCAACAATCGTTCAAGCCACGTAAGAGATCGTGCTCTCAGGGCTCTACTGTGGGTCAAAAACGCGCATCGTCCCTTGTCTAAACTCGAATTGTTGGAAGCACTTTCCGTTAAACCCGGAAGAAAGGATATCAGGCAACGTGGGAGACTATCGGGCGATCTTGCATTAGCAACAGAATGTGCGGATCTCATCACCGAGGTCAACGGATTCTATCAACTTCGACATGCCTCTCTGGACGATTTCCTCTCATCGCAACTACCAAGCCTCCTGACGTACGGCCCTCTGCAGTCGCAAGCGAATGAAATTCTGGCGGAAATATGCCTCACTTACATCAGCTTTGAGAACTTTGAAGACGTCCAAGTACTCTCTGCAGAGCATGTATCTCGGCTCTATGGACAGTACCCGCTGCTCGAATATGCCGTCCTATCTTGGGGCGATCACTTCCACGAAGCCAAAGGGCACCACGTTCCTCACCTAAACCACCTTCTATCAAACTTCCTTGGCAGCAGAAATAAGCTAAGGCTGGCGATCCAGATCCTTGAGTTCAAAGACTTTACAGCTGGATCATGGTCCCCAAGGAATCCGACGCCTCTCCACATCGTCGCTATTTTCGATCTTCGGGAAGTTGCGGACATGATGTCCGACGTCCACCCACTCTTGAACAGCGTGGATGATTTCGGTCATCTGCCAATTGCGTACTCAGTGCTTCATGGTTGGAGAAATATGACGAAATGGTTATTGAGAAAGCATCGCGAAGAATTGGAGGCCACGGGCAGCGACACTTTCAGTCAGGCATTTCTCGAATCGTGTGGTGCTTGGTTGCTACACAGTGCTTCGGAAGAGGATTGGGAGGACGTGGTTTTCGATCTAGTCGCACTGGGATTCGACAAGAATTCCTCAAACGCATTAGGAGAGACCCCCTTACACGCAGCAGCCACAGCTGGCTCGAACCGGGCCTTGGGCTGTCTTTTGAGGCTTGGTGCTCTCCCTGACGTAGCCGACAGAGATGGCAAAACACCTCTCATAATGGCCGCCATGCATATGAACCCCGAAATCGCGGCTTCTTTGTTACAGAACAAAGCGGATGTCAATCACCGAGGAAGAAATGACGAGACCGCGCTCCATTTTGCGGTGCAAAATGATCAAGTCGAACTGGTCAAAGTCCTTCTGGATGCTGACGCAAATGTGAATGCGCGATGCTCTACCGAGGGAGGGTTTCACGGCCAGACTCCATTACACTACGCCACAGAAGGAAACCTGGAGGAGATGATGAATGTTTTGATCAGTCGAGGAGCAAGTATGGACCATGGAACAGAGTGTGGTGACACTCCACTGTTGGTGGCATGTTACTGCAATAACGCTCGAGCTTTTGACACCTTGCTCAGGCATGGCGTTGACATACATGCGCGCAACTTGCAAGACGGATCGAGTTGCCTTCACGTTGCTTCCATGTTTGGCTCTCTTGAGGTTATGGAGTTGATTTTCACTTCCGCTGCTCGCCAAACTCTGATCGACTGTACTGACATCGATGGGAACACGCCGCTGCACCGCGCACTACGCAAAAGCCAGTCAGCAGCTGCAAAACTTTTAATCGACCAAGGTGCCCGCACCGATGTTTGCAACTTAATGCAAGACACGCCTTTGCAAATGGCTATTGAAACGGAGTGCTCAGATGTTGCAGAATTGCTCCTCACCACACACAAGATGGACCTAAACCAACCAGGGTACCGGGGAAGAACAGCATGGTATTATGTCGCTTTTCATGGTCGAACCGAGCTTCTGTCGTTAATTGCATCAATTCCTGATGTACATTTAAAAGACGCCAATGGTAGCACACCGTTGCACAGTGCAGCCTTGAACAACCAGGAATATTTCATATCGGAGTTCCTCAGGCTGTTCCCTGACACGGATATCAATGCGCAAGACAGCGATGGCTTAACACCGCTACATATTGCTGCTACACATGGGTCGAAGGATTCGATCGAATTGATTGTCAAAGCTGAACCCTCTTCCGTACATCTCAAAGACAAGCGAGGAAGATTTCCACTGCATTTAGCAGCTTTGCATGGCCATTTGCGTTGTTTGGAACAACTCATCACGCCAATGTCTATAGAGCATCGGGATCTAAATGGAGCCTCAGCTCTTTGGATTGCCTGTATCTTCGGGCATCAAAATGTGGTCGAATTTCTTGTGCGCATGGGTGCCGATGCGAACAAAGCAGACGATTGTTTTGGAGAGCCCCCAATTCTAGTTGCGTTGCTAGAAAAGCATGTGAGAATAGTCGAACATCTCCTGGACCATGGCGCTCAAACCAACGTTGTGAGCAACAGAGGGGTTACACTTATTCAAGCAGCAGTTTTGGCAGGCGATCAGATTTTGCTCCAACGATTACTCGAGCTCGAGTATGGAAATCCCAAATCTAAACAGTTGGCCACACCTACAGGTTCCTTGAGGCCACCAAGAGCTTTCGAATCAGCGTTGGCATGCGGTAGCCTGATAGCAAGACCTTTGGATACCTCTTCGAACACCTCTTTGATGGTGGCGAAACCTTTAATTCACCTTGGGGCTGCTCTAGAGACTCTCCATTGGAAATCTTTCCATGATTTAGATTCCGTCCGTTCTGCCAACGGACAGCTCTATGATGAAGTGTACTACGCGGCCATCAACGGCTTGGGCAGTCTGCTCGAGACCCTTCGCAGGTATACTTCCTTTGCTACAGGAACTTCTTTGAGAACGTTTGATCCTTTGACGGAGGCTGCTCGCCGCGGGTTCCCAGGTTTCATTGCAGCAGCGAAGCTTCTGGGCATGAGTTTGCGTCCTCAATCTGGATTCCAGGCCTTGCGGATGCAGCAAGATGCCCTTCTCGTTGCCTCCATACACCGAAATGTACAGACCGCCAAAGAACTTCTGATTAGCGGCGCGAACCCGACCTTAAAAGACTGCTTCGGCCTTCGCGCTCTGGATTACGCAACGCAGAACAAAGCACTTTTGGAAGTATTCAGAGAGCATGCTTTCGATCGGGCACCACTGGACGCAAATTCTGTGTCCCAAGCTATGAGAAAGTCCATCGTAGACTTTGCTACTGCTGTCAAGTCGCTTCAAAGTTCAGGAAAAGAGAGTCAATCACAATCCCGCCTCGAGTTGTCAGCTCTTGCAGCAGGTCTACTACTACTACATTCTCAAAGCAGCATCGAACAAGCACGAATTTGTAAAATGGCTTTAGGGCACGACAGCGGGGAGACCGAGTTTCTCTGCGACATCTGCAGTCAGCGCGTTCCCCCAATATCCTACAAATGCACAGTCTGCGCCGACGTTGACTTGTGCCCAAATTGCTACTCAGAGTACTGCGCCTCTACTCCTCACACAATACCGGAATCTTTCTTCAAGTTGCAGGCTTTAGACGCCAAAGTTGAGCCAGTCCTTGAGATCATGGAGTTGTTCCTCACCCGGCATATTGAACTTCTTCCAGAATGCCTCAGACTTCTTGGGCCACTTGCCGAACGGTGGATCGATGCCAGGCTGGCAGCGTATACGGACTGGGAATCATCCGCCATGAGCAACAAGTGCTGGCTACAGAAAAGGTCGGCTTGTGAACTACTCTATTTTCTTGACAAGACACGGAGACACGACTGGATTCACACTGAAAATGGCGAAGAACAACCTGTGCAGAATATGGAGTACGCTGCTTATATGCGACGCAAGATCCGCAGCATCTTCGTGTCGTTCAACCCGCGGATGGAGCAGCACACCTTGCAATGCAATGGACACCGGTATCTTTGTCTCGTCCCTTTTATAGACTTGAACCCGGTAGATCGAGCTTGTTTCAGCTCAGAAGGAGTCTTACACAAAACATTTCTTCGAGAACTAATCGAGGAGTACTCTACTCCTCCGACCTGTGAAGAACGGGCTTCTATCTCGGCCAGATTCTCAGATGGGGAGCGCTGGCCTCGTACAAATGAAGCTGGAGATCCCCACGATAGAACTATCGAAACAGATACGGCCGCTGAAGACGCATGGTCCACGAAACTTAAAATCCTTGAAGTTACTCGTAGGACTATAACGGATAAAGTAGTCCCAGGATCTCATTTAAAAACTCCAAAACAAGCGGGTCAAGGACATGGAAATGATTGGGAGGTTACCACGTCGCATGAGATCGCTTGGCGGCTCGCTCATGCGATGCTCGGGATACCATTCAAAAACGCCTTGGCAGAAATTGTATATCGTGTTGATTTCACAGAGCAAGTTAAGGATCAAACTTTTGTCTAAGGTTTGGCAACCTCGGATACGGTAGCTGGATCTCTTCATATCTGGAATTTGAAACAGTAGGCTCCGAAAAGCTACAAAAACTTCGTGTACGAAGAAATACTGCTCTTCTCCTAGACAAACGCAAAAAGTTTGGCTGGCCGTAACGTAATCACCCGCCTCTCACATCTCAAAATCTGTATTTGACAGTCTCTAAGCCCACTATCTCTCAACTTTCCGCAATCGAACATAGTTCTTGATCGGTTTGTGCGTGACAACATCCTTCCCTTCATATCCGGATAGGGTTTCTGGACACTTAAGTATTTCAAAGTTCCACACAATCAAACTGATGAGGGTTCGCAGCTCGACGTACGCAAGCCTCCTACCAAAGCAACTTCGCCTGCCTTGGCCAAAGGCAATCTGAGGTCCAGCTGTGGAGTCAAACTCCAAACGACTGCCCTTATTTGTCAATGTAACGCCGACTTGTTCCTTGTTCGTGACTTGTTCCTCATCTGATGGGCTTTCAGAAGTGAGCCACCGCTCAGGCTTGAAGTCTGCGATGTCCGCGGGATCCCATCCTGATACCCTCCCTCTATTTTTCACCGCGATCCGGCACGTCTCGTTTCGCCTCATCTCGTCGATTTCATACGCCGGCTTTCGGAGACTTGCTCCCTGTGTGAGACAGAAGATCTGAGTGCCTTTTGGGATTCGATGCCCCAACAGAATTGTATCGCAAAGAGCTTCTCGCTCTACCAGGGGTGCAGTACCGGCACAACGGAGAACCTCCTCCATCGTGGCGTCAAGGTAGGGAACTTTGATCTGCATAATCTCCTCCACAGAAGGTATTCTGGCATTTTTTGACGCTTCCTTGTACCCTGACTCCATGCAGGTGCGGAGTCTTGACTGCATCATCGGGTGGTCTGCTAGCAACTTGAGACCCCATAGCACCGTCGTGCTAGTTGTATCATGGCCTCCGGTAAGGATGCCGAATAACTAGTGATTAGGATTAGCGCTATGTTTGAAGGTTTTGTACGGTTGCAGAGAGTACCTACCTCGTCTCTCATTGTAGGCGAAAGGAAGTCTGGCACCCTCTCATCATCCTGAGCTATTTTCTTTTCTCTTTGCACCATCAGATCCACAGCCGACCGCATCCATGTGTCGTTGTCGCTGTTTGCCAATTGCCTGGACATCGCCTTATTCAGTTCTCCAACAATGAACTCGTTCTTGAGCCTCATCGTCCGGCTGACCGGGGGAAACTTTTCTATGATTTTCCACTTCAGGACAGGCCAGGGCGAGCCATGTAACCGTTCGATGGCGATAGTGACGTCAAGGATGGTTGAGAGTACCTCATCACATTCCACTGAAGGAAACGTAATCGGATCGTCGATGGTTCCGGACGCCCTCAGCTCGTTCAGTTGGGTGCTATTGAGGCCTCGAATAAGATCTGCTACAGGTTTTGTAGCGTTGTGTGGGAAGTCTCCGCCGAACGAGAAGGCTGTAACGGCATCCAAGGCTGCGTAGAAAATATCCTCCGAGACATCAAATGGTCTACCGTCAGCTATCCGCGTCTTGTATTGCCAAAGGTCGATCAGATTCGTCACGTTCGAGTAGATGGCCGGTGCCGCGACATCTTGTAAAAAGGGGGGCGACATAAGATCTTGCAACAGTCGACGGTGGGCTTTCCACTCGTCTCCGAGTTCTAGAGTGATTTGGTGGTTCGGCGTAGGACCTTTGAAAATGTTCTTGATGATTCGTCCGCGATCGAATTCCTTCCGCCGCATGCAGAGATCCTGCATCTCGCGGAAGTCACTCAGTATCACCACGGGTGGCGACATGGGACGAAGAAAAATCTGGCATACTGGAGAGTCGTGCTGGTCCGCTTGGCGTTGCAGCCAAGTAGCCAGATCGCCCGTCTTCAAGACCTCACTGGCAAGCTCTGGTAGGTCACCAAGGATGCGGCCGAGGGCTTTTGGGTTATACGGAATGCCGGGGATAGGCTTCGGCAGGGCTTTCCGGTACAGCCTGTACAAAAGGCAAATGGAAAGTATGCTCGTGAATAGTAGGAAACCATAGGCTTTGCGTGGAGATATCGTCTCCCTCATGAGATGAGCCGTGTCAGACGAAGTTACGAGAGGCATTGTGACTGTGGTTCTTCTAGAAGAGTGGGTGCACGAACTCCTCAGTGCCAAACCGGCGTGGGAAGAACCGACAGTTTATACGTGATGTCGCGAAAGTAGGTGTGTCACGGACGGTGATGTTCAAGGAGGCAGACTGTAGTCATCCGGGTTTGAGGACTCGAACTCCTTATGCAAACTCCCGAAGGAACCCAATTTGTCGGGTCTGGGAGATACCGCAAACGGCATTCGCTATGGTGATGGAAAGTTGGTAAGTAGAAGCGGTTCCCCACGTGCCATGGAAGCTTCCCCCCATTGTGCTACGACGTGGATTCCTAAAAGGGTAACTACCTCATTGCGAGCAGTCTTAGCCGTTAGTTCTATGGGGTGACACCCAGACCACCACCACCACCACCACTTGATTACTGCAAGTTGAGGGCAGTCGATGAACCTGTAGCAGCCATGCTTCATGAACCTCGAGGCTACAGCCAAGATCAGCTTCGTTACACGTGTGCAGCAACAAGAAGACGTAGTATATAGATCGATGACGACTAAATGCAAGGTTGTCTGCACAAGGTTCAGGTAGGTATGGTCGGTCCCAATGACCACATGTATTTTGGCCTGATGGATGAGTTGGGCGATGATCATAATGGCGATTATGAAGAGGGTATGTAAAATGATGCTTAACATCATTGCTCAAAAAAGGTACGCTTTTCAATTGCTAAGATTGCCAGGCATGCGGTGAGTGATAAATCTGGTTGTAAGTGCACGTTCACTCCAGATCCCGCGTGCAATTGGACACCTGAAGGCAGATAAGTTGATGGATGCACGTCAACGGCCGAGGGGATGACATGAGTCAGTTTCAGGATGGAAAAAATCATCATTTCCTGTTTACAAACCTCTTAAATGGTGTCAGTCCGAATCGATCACGCAGAATTCGTGTGATCACTTGGCAGGAGACTTCCGGGGATGCAGACGGGCGAACTGAAGAACTCAAATGAGCATCATCATCATCAGGTCGAATGACTGCAAAGCAGCGGCACTCCAGAAGTATATGGAGCATATCTGGGTCCGATTGGGCATCGCAGCGCGAATAGCAGATTATCCTCCCGCGAAAACGAAGTTCAATATCTCCCTCTCGCAACATTTGCCGGAAAGGAGTCGGACAGAAATTGTGATCTACGTTCTTACCTATAGAGTGAGGTGTGCTCGACAAAACTGGTAACTGCCAATTTGAGAACTCGTAGAAACTCTGTTCAGTAGAGTTTTGGTGGCGGCAGTGACTATAGGAGCCGAGATGTTCACCGAGACCGCCGAAAACATGTTCAAAAAGGCTGCTCGTCTCAATGAGCTTTCTTCTTAGGGCTTGCTTCAAGAGATGACCAAGAGATGACTCCAGTGTCACTGCCAGGGTTCATTCAAGAGTCAGTAAGTCGGCTCCGATAAGTCGGCTCCGATAAGTCATCATCCGGCCGGTTGTGTAGCCCAAAATTCATATTCCGAAGGTTACCAAGTCTCATGAGACTTTTGTGCATAGTTACGGGGATGCGCATGATTAAAGAAAGTAATCTTGAGGAATGCGCCGGTTCGATTGGATGTCTTGGGAGTCTGGAGTCCTCCGTCAAGCAGCTCACGGGGCCGAATCACCGTAGAGTCCTGGTCAACCAGTTACCAGACCCGCTGCCAATTTAAACGCTCCCAATCTACTTGCCTTGTTAACGTTTTTCTTTATTATTTACGACTGCTAAGTTCTGGAGGAAGACATTCAATTTCACGGGTTACGATCGAACTGTTGAGCATAATTGCCAAATGAGTAAGCAGATATCCCAAGCATTGCCCATATGTCAAAAGCTTCAGAGCCTTGGGCACACTCTAAAGGTCCCCTCACTGTTACCTAGATGACAGACAGATAACCAGCGCAGTCCAGCACTCCGCAACTTCTTCACTGAAACCAATACAATGAGACAGACCAGCTCAGTACCCAACATCTCCGTGCCCCCTCCTATCCACAACTGGACTTTATCCATATAGCACAGTGTTCCGCTGCGAGCATTACTTAGTCCGATATGGTATAGTGGCCAACATGATGCCCTCTCATCCATGATAAGCAATTTGAGAGGATAGACATAGCCCCGAGTTCGATTCTCGGGTTTAGAAATGTTGATGCGAATTGCGCGGTTTCACTTTTGATCTGCATTTTGTTCTTAGCTGACAATCCAGTTTCGTGCACCTTTCACAAATGGGGAGTCGCAGCTACTACCTATTCATTCTTCGTCTTTTATTTTTTTGCGACCACTTTTCAAAGCTGATGAAAAGGAGATTTCTGGTGTTTTGGGATACGATGTCACGATCTTGTCTTCTGTGGGACGTAGGTTGTTCGTAGTGAATGATTTCAAACATCACCTTCTCCACCCTTGCAATTGATATACCTTACATATATATATATTAGGCTATCTATGGCAAAGATTCTCCCAAGTTCCCGTCAGTCTATTATCTCTTTCCTCTATGTTCATTCACATGCCTGAAACTCATAGCTCTAGCTTTTCCTGAATTTCGCGCCGCCAAGGTTGGAAAAAATGGCCAGTGCTTGTGGCTGTTCCGTGTCCTGTACGGCCCACAACTCTGGGCTGCCGGACAGCTGCCTAGCGCGTCCCTTCTTTGCAACCTTGTCAATGGGAGCCAGCTGATAATTAGAGGTAAAACCAGCTTACGGAGTCCTAGTTCCATCCAAAGAACCAATCCTCGAGACACTTTCCCAAACTAGACGAATCTCAACTTTTGCGACTGCCATCATTGATGGAACTCGAGGGCATACCTAATGAGATCCTCAATATGATCATCGGGCAACTATTCCGACTAAAAAGCCCCAGGGATCCAGCGAACATCCGTGAAATTCGCAAGCACCTTCTCCCCGCCCGCCTCGTTTGCCAACGATGGAACTCTATTGCGACTGAACACCTGTATCAAACTCTGGAGCTAGCACACACTGGAACTGTCACCGGCGACGAGAGTGGATTTGAAGGCTGGAACAAGACTCTCGACCTTGAAGCCGCCAGGAATGCTGCTCAACGCGTCATCATCCAGAGCTGCTCCAAGAAATCGAGGCAATTTGGGGACTGGGAAGACTGGAAGAATGGAGAGTATGATGCTTTCACTTCAGCCATGAAACGAATCAAGCAGTTGCCGAATATCAGAGCTATCGAGGTACACTTTAGCGAGAAATGCAAAGGCTGGTGGTCCAATCTTCATGACCCATGGAACGACGTCGAGCCCAGCGAGACCCGACTAGACACACTCAAGGCAGTTTTCGAGGCTATTCGGGAACGCGCAGGTCAGTCTAATGCCAAAGCTAGCACAATTCGGACCATGACGATTCGAAACCTCCAAAACATGCCGCATCAAGAATTCGTCAACTCTGGTCTTTTCAAAGACGTCGCCAAGGACATCGACCGTCTTCACCTGTTGATCATAGACGAGTATAATTAACACGGCCCAGACCGCGACACATCTATGGAAGAGCGCCTGGAGTTCGAGAGCCATCTGCAGCGACAGTTCCTTCCTCACTTCGCGGCCAATCTCACCGCTCTGACCTTGAACTTGCACGATTGTTGGGGCACCATGCCGGGATACTTTGACGGTCAAGGCCTAGAGTTCCCTCGATTAAGAACCCTGAACCTGGGAAACTTCGTCATCAGCAACAATCGTCATTTTGACTGGGTTCTCTCACAGAAGTCGCTTCAAACTTTGCGTTTGGACAGCTGTCATATCGTTTCTCACATCCAGCTTTACACCGATGAAACCGAGAAGTGGAATATTCACGCGGAAGACTGGCAACGCCTGCCAAAAGGCTCGTACGGCATCTCTTCTGACGATGCTGAGCTCTACAGGTTCGATGGCACGTGGGAGTCTACTTTCGACAAGATCCGAAACAACCTTCCCTACCTCAAGGAGTTTCGATTTGATGGACGTTCCAACGGACTTCGCTTTCTCCGTCCTTCGAGGATCGGCACCGTGTTGCATCCGAGTCGGTACATCAACTTCGACGCAGGAATCTGTCCTAGTCCATGGTTGACTTCAAATAGTGAGACTGGTGAGATGGAATTTGGAGATTACCAGTGTTCTATGAACCGTTCCGAAGAAACCAGGAGGGCGACACCAGAGCGTTCAAAGATCTTCTCAGTGCCTGCCATGAGAGGCATGAGTAGTGCAAGGTAGAAGTGACGGCATGGCGATAGTCACATCGCGCGGCATTTAGAACAAACAATAGATACAGCAAATTGGAAGAAGCTCGAGACTTAAGCCTTTTCATAGCGTAGATTGATCTAGGCTACAAGACTGTAAGTGCTGTTGTTTTTAATTTCAAATACACACGGCTACATATGCAGAAGTAAAATCTGCAACATGAATTGCATGTTTGTCTCAAACACCATCATTTAGCTTAGCTGTACCAAACAACATTGGCAGGTCCAGATGCTAATGCCAGGTGCGCGACAGCTGCCGCAGTTGTGGATGAGCCAGTAGCGTCGATCTTCCATACTTCCAGGAAGTTCGAGCCGCTGTCCGTAATCGCAAAGTAATCCTCGCTGAACTTAGCGGGAGAGACGGCATTGGCAGAGCCACCGCTGTTCGTGGTGGGAGTGAGGAAGAGCTGCTCAGTGATGGCGCCGGTGGTGCTGTCGAGAGAGAAAGCGGAAACGTAGCCCGGGATGCCGACGGTGCGGGAGCGGGTGGCAGCAATGAGGTACTTGGGCGCAGTAGCGCTGGCGTTGCTGCTAGGGATGGAGAACATGACTTCGTCGGCCCAGTAGGACGACGTGTTGGTGTATCCTGAAGAACTGTTACTTATGGGCTCGAGCAATAGTTTGTCTTCAGCACATACCTGAGGGCAGGAGGGAGTAAGTGGTGTTGGTAAAAGTCAGCTTGCCGGTAGTCGAGTCGCGCTTGTAAGAAGCGATGGAGTTGGCCTCCTCATAGACGACATAGACCCAGTTGCCGTTGGGGTGCACGGTCAAGTGCCTGGGGTTGGATCCCTCGGCTGCGGCGAGGTACTGGACTTCTGTAACCTCTCCAGTGGTGTTGTCATAGGAGTGAGCCCAGACGGCGTTGCCCATGTCATCGGCGGAGTAGATGAAGTCGTTGTTGGGGCTCATCCATGTTCCGTGGACACCTCCGGCGCTGTCGTATGTGACATTTGCGGTAGCCTCCTGGAGTACACCGGAGTCATCGACAGTGATGGCCAGGCTTGAGCAGCCACCTCCATAGGGAGTTCCGAAAACAGTGTAAGGGGAGGCCGAGGAAGAGGTGATGTAGTTGGCGTTGCTACCTATTTACTGTAAGCAACAGGCTCATCTCGAGACAATCTACTTTGAGGGTGCTCACAATCTGAAGACAAGCTGACGTTGCTGCTATATGTCAAGCTGAGGTCGTCTGTGATGGCATAGCTCTGAAAGTAGCCGGTCGTACCGACATACAGGTTCTTTAGGCGGGACTATCGTCAAGTTGTCAGCATCAGGCCTGGCAGTCGCATTCCCAGGTAGCTTACATCGATGTGAATCCACTTGGAGCCCGAGCTCGCGTCTGTGCTAATGTTGTTCTTCAAAGTGAGCGACTGTGTTTGGTCATCGAATTCAACACCGACAATAGTGCTGCCGGAGAAGAATCCAGAGAAAAAGTAGTGACTGTCGGCCAGGGCCGGAGCAGCCGCTGCCGCCAACGAGAGTAATTGAAACGAGCGCATATTGTTGGGCTTTAGCAAATGGGATGAACGGGCATGGAAAGGCAACTACAGACGAGACCGATACTTGGCACATTTAAACATCAATTTGTAGAAACGCCTTCACAGCTAAGATGACGACTCCCGAAGGCCTCTATCCCGCTGGCGGGAGACTCTCCACATCACGAAGATGCTAAGCCCCATATCAAGGGGCCGTTGCGCGGCTCAATAAAGTATACCAAGCTTTTTGGCATGGGGGACGTATGCCCAGGGGTCATCAAATACCGCTATGGGGTATGGAGAACAGCAGCCAGTGGCGGTGGAGAAGAGACATGGAGTCATAAACAAAGGGTTGACGTTGGTAGCGGTAAAGAAGGCCTCGCGTTCTCTGCAAATGCCAAGAATAGTTTCGGAGTGTGGCTCAATACCAGAGCTGACGAAATTCAAGGGGCCCGTCCTACCGTCCTATGAGCGACTACGCCTATAACCTGACAGGCGCACGCGTAATCCCGAAAAGACGACCAAGCCGTATTCAGTAAATTTCGGGTCGGGATCTCCATTCTTGATGGGGGAGAAAATCGACCCGCGGCTAGGCGATGCTTGTTTCAATCTAAGTGCCGCTGGTGGACGAGTCCGGGCTCAATCTTGTCCCTAATTTGTTAGAGTTCATCCCGTTTGCTGCCCACATCCCGTGCCACGGCTCTGGTAATAATTGTCTGGCGGAATCCACAGAGCTGACCCCTACAGAAAGCCGGAAGTGCCGACTTTGGACCATCTCCAGAGAGCCTGCTAGCTACGCATTCAGCATGTATTCGAGTCGATCCGAAGATGAGAAGAGCATCTATCCTACCTCAGCGTCTAGTCATAGTCAAAATCAACTTTGCATAGACATCTTTCTCATGTTGAATGAGATCTAAGCGCAACGTGCAAACACTCACGATATCAGCCAGGCCTTCATTCAAATTTCTCGACTGTCCTTTTTGCAATATTACATGCCATACCATATTATTAAAAAGCATCTGTCAGCCAAATGTTACTATTCCCAACATTAAAGAAACAACTCAAGACTGGCGCGCTTCGTTCTACTCATCCTCTACAGACTACTGAGCAGTTTCTAGGGCGCCCAGATGTGGAATCTAGGAAATTTTGACCGAATGAACGGCAGAATTTTCACATTTCTTTTCGATTTGATGCATTTCCCAACCAAAAGTCTTCAATACTTATGACCGGATGTCGGTCTAAGAGCAACCTTAACCAGCCATGGCAATGCCTTTCACCTTTCAAGACACCTTGAACGAACGAGGCTCTGCCGGTGTCAGTGATCATTGATTCAAGGCTACCCAATATTGACGATCGAAATTTGGAAATATCCCCACGAATTGGCGTAACAATCAATATGATCCCTCAAAACTTGTCATTTTTCCCAAGTCTCAGGATAGAAAAGATCGCTCCCCAAAGCCTTGCTTGATATGAGTCCTGTAGGATCGGACAGCCTCATTATGTTGGTCGAGGCACACCAACTCTCAGTTGTGCATAGCGATTCGTTAAATCAACAAAACGAACATGCGCGTTGCAATATTTCGGCTAGCAAAATGCTGCAGAGTCATGGATCAGGCAGCAATATTACATGCGATAATGTCCATCCGGAGTGAAAGTGCACTTTTGTCAGCCTGATTTTACTTTGCCCCTGTTATGCAGTGAGCGCGATCCGCCTCGCCGGTCGCCATGATCCATGGGTTCCTTCTTCTTAAAGTCCAAGGTGTGGGTATTCCCTTCGTTCTGATGGCGATGAGCTCCTCTCTGGTCCTGGAAGGCTTAACGGAGCAATGGAGGAGTGCATGTTCAAAAAGCACTTGGCGAAATGTCGCTATGTCACTGAAGCAACGACTTATTTCACACTTTACAACTACACAGCAAGTCTCTGCCCTCATGAATACGCTGTTTTGCGGCAAATTAATAGATCTGACTTGACTTACTACAGGATTCATCTTTAAACGCGTTGAAGGAGGGAGATTTGACTCTTGACAACCTCAATGATTTTCTACACGAGCAGGTAAGACTTTGCGACTCCCTCTGAGTCTCTGACTCCTCCTACTAGCCATAATGTGCAGCAAAAAGATTGTTGAGAACTAAAGACTATTCGTTCAAGGGCGTATTCTATCCACCGGTCGCAGAAGAAAAAGGCAAACTTTCGAGCAAGCTTCGTTTGATGTCAGAACAGACTATAATTGGGGAATGCCACATTGACTGACATCGCGAGATAGCGTTCAAAAGGATGCCAAGGATCTGGAAACATTTACACCGTTGAAGATCCCACTGCCGCCAGCACGGTATGAGCAAATGCTCAAATGCCTACGTCTCCCGCTGCACGCCGTCGAGTTGACCACCTTCCTTGGACCTCTCTTCTGGTACAGATATGTCCTTCTTGGGGACGATGATCCCCACCTTCGTAAGCTTCCACCACCTTGCAGTCACAGACTCAAAGCTCTGCTGGACTCATTTAATCTCTAGAGATGGTATTTGGAAAGCACGATAGCCGCAAGAAGACCGGAACACGCGGCTGGGAACTGATTTTATCATATTCTTTCAGGCGACGTGAGACCACAGGCTTCGTGAAATGGACACCTACCGCCGATATTGTTGAGTGCTTATCCAATTTGCGAGATTGCGTTCTTGATATAAGCCATCCACTTCTCATTCCCAGCATCATCATGTCCGACCTCGTAGCGACATCTGTCGAAGTGAAACAACGAGAAGCCCGAACTAGCATTCGGCAACTAGAAAAAGCAATCAGTGTCAATGACGATACAACAGGCTTCTACTACTCAAAGGACGGCACCATCGACCTACGCACAGTCGCGAGTAATCTCACAGAACACCACAGAAGAATTCTTCATAGACCACCCAAGCTTTACTCCAAGGTCATTGATGCTTTGGAAGCTGCCACAGACTGCTTCTGGGCACATATCGACCCCACTGATAAGACCAAAGCGTTGGACCGGCTTCATGCGACTTTGAAGGACTGTTTCCATTGCCACAGAGTACGGCTTGTCGGCTTGGAGAAATACGTTTCCATATCTGTGGAACGTTTGAACATCCAAAGAAGCATGGTCAGAGGTGTACCTCAAGCAAAGGGAGCAGGACGTCTACTGACAAGAAGTGCCTCAGGTTTCCTTCATTACGGCCGAAATCGCACAGAAGGATGCGAAACTGAATCTCAAGATAGCGGGAGATCAACGGAAAATAGCTCATGCCAGTAAGAGCGATAGTCAGGCAATGAAGGCCCTTTCTCTTCTCGGTGCTGCTTTCCTACCTGGCACGTTCATCGCCTCCATTTTCAGCATGTCATTTTTTGACTTCCAAACTCGTTAGTATCAGCGCCATTTGAGATGCTTCCGTAGTGTTCAACACTGATAATTTCATGATAGAAGCTCATGTTTCGTCCAAGATTTGGATTTACTTCGCGTTTATGATCCCGTTGACCACGGCTGTCCTTCTTGGGTGGCTCTTCTGGGATCACAAGCGAAGAAGATTGCAACACTTGACAAGGTCATCTTCCAACAATAGCGGCTCTGACACAGAGAAGGTAATTATATCCGAAATTTCCAAGAGGGCGTAGACAGACTCGTCAGTCATCTTCACTAGAGTAGCTTCCAAAGATCGTTATTTTGTTTGCACGCTGCGAGAAAGTTGAGAAACATACCTCAGTTCAAAATCATGTGTGTATTCCCGTATCTTTTCAGTAGCATTCGTCTTATTTCTCAAATGCATTTACTCAGGATTTAAACCCCACGGGAAATTCAATTTACGCCTCTCTTTGCGATTATGAACGTGAACTTCAAGGTTATCTTCAGTCGAGACCGGGAGCCGGGAGTGGGACGGACGACTTCGGGCCCGAACTCGAATCGGAGCTGAGAACACCGGCCGAACTAGATGCCGCTCTCTTGTCGATAAAAGCTGCAACTAATCACCCAACGTTTCCAATTAAGCGATGGGCTTTTGCGCCGTACATGTCAGCTCGCGGTGCCTCTTGTGGCTATAGGAGATAAACGGGTGCTCACATCGGGACATGCCATTACAGTGGAGATTCGGCGTAGAAGAAAAGGGATGTAGGATGATTGAGACGCACAGCAGTGACGACGACGATGTAAGTACAGAGGGACAGCACCTTGTCTCATAGGGATTCTCCGTTACCTCTGAATTAATACATCATGTCGAACTAACTACTGCCGAGTTTTATGCAAGCATAAAGGGAACAATGTGAGGCTCGAACACAGGGAAGGAGCTGAGAGTATTCAATAATCTGCCCAGTGTCGGTGGGCTTGTAGGCTTGTTCCATCTTGGCAATGAAGATTGCAGTCCAGCACAGCCACGATGATTGCATAACCACGTATGCTGTCTGAGATACAATTGCGAGATCTCCACATCTAGTACACGGCACCGACCGCTTCACCCTCGTCAGGGTAAGAAACCTGACACTTACGCAGTGTAACCTGTCAGCTTTTGGAAGAAGTCTTTACAGTATTCTTATCTATAAACCCGAAGAAGGTAAAGTCTTTGAATTACTCAGTTCAGCTCGTCTGCCGATCCTGTCGGAGGTGACTTCCGAGGGTTGGCATGAATAGTGAAGAGCAAGAAACGGATTTCGGGGATCGGCGCAGCTTTCGGGCAAATAACGCCTTGATTCATTGCTTAAGATTCGGGCAACCCGATGTGGAGGGGGTAGAATTTTGTCTCAATACTTTCAAGTTTCCACAAGGAGTTCGTTCTGGCAAGAAACTTTCCTATCTACCTACAGCGGCTATGAGAGACGGCAGCAGGGATCTATGCGGTCGTCCAATGGGAAGCACTTTTATGCGCATATCACCTTAGGTTAGGGTAAGTGGGCCATCGACAAATGCGATACCGAGCGAACTACCGTGCTGACATGTTGAACTAAGCTTGGGTTGATATATGCTTAAATCCGGTGGTGGATACGGCCTCGGTCGGTTCTCAACCTCGATGGCACCATCACTATCAGTGAACAAATGATAGAATCACAGCTTTGAACGTGTGTTGTTCATCAGCAAGAAGAGCCACCATGGCCGCGTCATGCCAATGCGCACATGAATATGCTGTGCGGATCATGAGCCAAGAATTGACCCCCGAGCCTCCGAGGACAAGCGCCGAACAGACCCAGGCTTGTTCTCTATTTAACATGGACCGCTATCTGATTTTAAGCCAATAATCTCAGTCAAACATCATTGACAGTTCCTGACCTGAACAAGACGTCTAATCACCATGTCACTTAGCTTTCTCAACAGCACTATGCGCGCTGCCGTCATGACGGGACCGTATCAAGTTCATATTGATCAGTTCCCGATGCCGCGCATTATCAATACGACTGATGCAGTAGTTCGCATCACAACCTCCGCGCTTTGTGGTTCAGACCTACACCGTTATCATGGCTATGTGGGAGGGGAGCCGCCCTGGGCATTGGGCCACGAAGCTAGTATGACCCTGATTCTAGGACAAGAAAATGCCGCACAAAGATACAGGAAAGCTAACATTTCTACAGTGGGGTACATTGAGTCGATTGGTAGTGGTGTGTCGTCTTTGGAAGTGGGACAATATGTCATCATTCCAGATAACGGGGCTACCGGACACATTGATATGGGAGTTGGGACTGGGCCTCGAATGGGCCTGCCCTTCGGAGGTCTTAACGGAGGTCTCCAAGGTATTCCATTCCTCAGAATCTCGTGGTTGTTCTTTGTTTCTTCATTACTAATGATGCTTTACCAGCTCCTTACGCCCGAGTACCGTTCGCCGACATGGCTCTTATCCCCGTCCCCCTGACCGCCGAGACCACCAACACCAGCATCGAACAAGATTACCTGACCGTTTCCGACGTCTTCTCCACCGGATGGATTGCTGTCACCAAGTCTGGCTTTGAGCCTGGTGACACTGTTGCTGTCTTTGGTGCTGGTCCTGTAGGCCTGCTCGCCGCGTACTCCGCCATTCTTCGTGGTGCGTCTCGGGTATACAGCGTTGACCATGTTCCCATGAGACTCGAGAAAGCCGCATCCATTGGAGCCGTGCCCATCAACTTCATGGACAGCGATCCCGTACAGCAAATCCTCGCATACGAGCCTGGTGGCGTCATTCGGGCCGTGGACGCTGTCGGCATGGAAGCCATCACTGCCAACGGTACAATGCAGCAAAACATCGTGCTGAACCAGATGGTCGAACTTGTCGCAGCAGGTGGCGGGATTGGCCAGATTGGGATCTACCTGGCCCAACCGAACACTGGTTTGGCTCCGAATGCGGAGAGAATCACGCCGGAAGTCTCGTTTCCCCTCACACAGTTCTTTTCGAAAGGCATCAGATACGAAGGCGGAATCGCAGATCCTGAGACTGTTGCTGGAGAACTTGTCAACTTGATTTCCAGAGGCATTGCGAAACCAGGCTTCGTGGCTAGCGCGTCTATCGATATTGAGGAAGTCCCTACGTACTATGAGCGGCTAAGCAACCAACAGGAGCTCAAGGTGTTCATTAAATTCCCTTGAGTAATGGGCTCCATGCCCGAAAGGCCTGTGTACATGGGCTGAATGTATCTACAGAATTTCCCAGCACTCTCCTTGTACTTGGAGTCATTGGTCGTGTCCGACTATCCGACTTAAAGAGTTCATTTATTAGGAGGCGACGGGCTTTGCGGAAGCACTAGTTTCAAGGGCACGGTGTATCCTACTAGAGGTTGCTCTCACTAAACTTCAATTCCTTGTACATATCATGTAGTTTGATTAAGAAGAGACTGGCTGCCAGTTCTTATCAAGACTTATCCATAACCAGATCCAAAATTGTAAGATTTGGCCCAGTCCATCTCTTCCCTTTGATGAACCATAGACCTACTGCAACCAGCAAGACGAAGACCATGACTGGTCCGCAATAGTTCATGTTCTCTGCAGTTACGGGAATTGTTGAAGGGAAAGGCAGGAAGACAATGACGTAAAGGGTATAGACCAAGGCAAACGAGTTGATGTAAAGACCAAAGCGACCAAGGTTCCACTCTCCTAGTTCAATACCTCCTTTGGAGGAGAGACGAGCATACAGCATGCTGCTGATTGCGATCGCATAGCTGAGGTAGAGAGCCATGGATGAGAGGGAAGTGATGGCTCCAAAAGCAACGTAGCTCGAGCTTCCAATGTTGAGAAGGCAAAGAGCACAAACAATGAACACTGTCACGACAATGGCGCGGATAGGTACACGGTGCTTCGGGTGAACGTATGCCAGATAAGCAGGCATACCTCCGTCTCTGGACCAGGCCCAGGTCAGACGGGATACGGAGGCGATGTTGGCCAAGTTGACGCTGAAGGAGACGACGAAGAGGCCGGTGATCATCGCCGTCGTGGCGCCCTTGGAGCCAGTAATGCTGAGAAGAATGGTGAGAATTGGGCTGGCTGAGTTAAGGGCGTCGTCGATTGAGCCCATTGAGACGAGAATAACGCAGACCATGACGAAGCCAAGACATCCGTTCATGAAGATGGACCAGAACATGGCACGAGGGACCGCAGACTTGGCCTTTCGGGTTTCCTCGCTCATGTGAATGGCACTATCGAAACCTGACGGACTGTTAGTCGAAGCACTGAGGTATCTTTGTCAAAATTGGCCCATACCGGTGAAACTCCAAACACAAGTCAGCATGCCGAGGTTCCACGCAATGAAGGTATCCGTCCATCCAGACGCAGTGTTGGTCTCCAAAAAGAAGCTACCCGAGTGTCGAGTGCCCATCACGGCCAATACAACGACAAACACGACAAACAAGCAGACGTGAAGAACTCCAGCAACGAGCTCAACCCAAGGGATAACTCTGAAGCAGTACGTATTCATCAAGCCCTGGATAACGCACATGGCGATGACGAGCACCGAGGTGTGCCAGCCTCCCGGCACGTAGTCGGGGTGGTTCAGCTCAATCATAGACTCCAAGAGGATGATGGTGACGTTGGCAATCCCGGCAAGGAGCGATACGTATCCAAACCACGTCGACCAGCCCTGAATCCAGGTAGCGAAACGCTTGACGCGTGCGGGTGCGAGGTGGAACGTCCAGTGGTACTGGGCACCGGCGACGGGTTGTATCGAGGCCATCTCGCCCAACGAAGCGGCTTGTGCGATGGCTCCGCAAAACACTATAACGAAGCTGAAGATGAAAGTTTGAGGTCCGCCGTTGTAGAGTGCAAAGTACATGTTTCTTGGGATTCGGTTAGACCAAGGCCGAGAACCTCTTGAGTGAATCGGCAGTTTACTTACGTGCACATGCCTTCCCACAAGGCCATGTAGGTCAACGAAAAGGCGAAGAGCTGGGAGAAGGAGAACACTCTCCGCGTCCGCGTCTGGTTGTAGACTTCGGACCCATGTTTTGACTCGATTGCGTCAATCTGACTGGCGTCTTTGACGCAGGGCTGCAGCTCAATTGCTTCTGCGGGAGCCATGATGAGATGCTCGAGACCAATTGAGGAAGGAATAGAAGAAAAGTCAACAACAAGGAGGCTTTCTGAGTTTTCTCGATGAAAAACCGAGGATGAATGATATGCTTTCGATCCTCGGCACAGGTAAGAGTCTCTTCAAGGAGTCGAATTGGAGAAGATCAGAAGAGCCGGGCAGCACACCCACAGCCTTGGCCAAATGCTGCAACATATGCACATAAATATCAGCAGGTGTAACCACAGACGAGGGAAATTGTGAGACAATGACCCTAGTAGCCGCAGCAAGCTTGCAGATTGATGAGCGACTCTGGACTTAGGGAATGATTGGTGAAGGGAGTGTCCAGGTTATCTCCTTCGACGCAGCTACGGCTGGCGGTTGGAAGTCAAACCAACGAGGATTTAATCAAAATTTAGGACTAGGGTCCGCTGAATATACATGTTAAAGCAAACACCGCTTCCTTGATGGGAACTATTACCGACCAACAGATGGCTTCCGCGGTGGGTTCGTGCCGGGGTTCCTGCATGCCGGGAGGGGGTCGACCACACGGACTCTACCCGTACCGTTCCCGGAGCTACTTGGCATCACCGGACCCTCCAAGCTTTGCAGTTGGATCGATCACATATGGTCTCTGCCGGTCAGATTCCGTTGTGGTCATCACTTCGTTAGTCGTGGGCTGGAGAATACCCGGGTACCAGGGTTACGCTGCTTTGCTCCAATGTATTCGTCACTTCTCCGTGTGATCTCCCAGCACAGCTCAGGGTGAGGGAATCGATCTCCAAGGTACCGACGGGTATTCCAACTCCGATCCCAAGTGAATTTGGTCCGTTGTCTGAGCTCGCCTGCAGAAAATGTAACCCGACGTATTGATCGATCTCATAACGATGGTCTGGATGCTTGCATGTGGGTGGGGTTTAAGGACCGCTGTCTTCTGAGTGGCATGTGTCGGAGCCAATGAAGGCAGTGAAAGCTAATTGGGCACAATCAAGTAGGAGAGTAAACTTTGCCAGGTTACGAGCGGAAGCTTACTATGTACCTTACCACTTCAAACAGTACGCACTAGAGTCTTGGTACGAACACATGAAGTGCGATGTCTCCAACAGTTCCAACAAAACCTGTCAGGTTAGTCTTATGAACCAGAATCGAGATGAGTTCAATAAATTGCCCGAAATCTCATTTGTTCTTTTGACTCCACATCATATGTACCACGAAACTTCTCATCACATCAAATGTTGGCCCACAGGCAAACTTCGCTTCCATCCTTGCAATGAGTAACAGAACCACAGTCGAAATTTCACCACGCGCACACAGACAGCCTTCTTTGAAAAGCCGACGGAAGGGTCCAACCTATTAGATAATGATAAAGAGTTGGTTGTCAGTCCGACGCTTTCTTACGCAAGAAAGAGAACCCCCCCCCCCCCTTCCCGCGTCCGTCGTATGGGACTTCCCGGTACATGACCTGTATCTAGCAAGTGCACACATATGTTTGACTCACTGAAAACCTGACATAGTTCGTACACTTGGATGTTCGGGCCAAGCAACCTTACTCTAGACCCTGTGTTGGTTGGTCTGCTCGACATACGGCACAGAGCTGCTGTGTAGATCTTCGCAAACTACTCCGGATCCTGGTAAGAACCCCGGGTCGTTGGATCGATGAAGAATTGCCCAAACAATGGCCATGGGCCCGTCCTCCCCTCGTAGCTCATTGACGACAAAGTTTAAACACTCTGCAACCCCATCAAGGAAACAGTAAAGCCACGAGTAGGAGGCTCAATTGAATTCTTCTAGCAAATATCCGGTCATTGGGCCAGCCGAATATGGTAGTCGACATTCAATCAGATCCTCCATTTTACGCGTTGACGGAAGACAATCAAGCTGCGCTGGTCGTTGTTGCCTCGCTCATCTTCCTCATTTACGCCATCGTCGGAATATCTCTGAAGCTTATCATTCGTCTCAACATCACCTCTTTGGAGAGGCACGATGTAATACTACTAGCCGCGACCGGATTACTTCTGTCACAGACAGTCTGCATCATCCATGCTTGCAACAACGGACTAGGCCATCATCAAGATGTAGTAGAGCCTTATAATCTCGAGGCATTTCACGAGGTATGCAGTCATATAGCAAGAGCAGAAGTAGAGATGATATTGACCCAAAATCATAGCTTTTCTACGCTTCCTCCATACTTGCAATTGCGATTGTCGCTAGCACAAAAATTTCGCTATGCCTCCTCATCCACTCCATCAATAATCACGGACGATTGAATCTTGCAAACAAGGTACTGTTCTATGCCATCGTTGCTTGGGGCATCTCTGGAATATTTATTACGGCCTTTCAATGCTCCCTACCGCGGCCGTGGCTTGCCACTGCTGGTGAGAAGTGCCCAGGTCGAGAGGGTATTTTCCTTTACAACGGCGTGATGGACATCCTTACGGATGTTTGTCTATGTCTGCTACCCGTCGCTATGATGTGGAAAGTGCAGACTACGTTGAAGAGAAAGGCGATGGTGATTGCTCTTTTCAGTACTCGCATCATGTAAGTTGCTTCAATATTCCAATTCAGCTATGGACTTACTGACATTTCTTTTGCACAGCGTACCCATCATCACAATTCCGAGATTGATTCACACCCATACCTTGGTAACAGACTACACAGACGCGACATGGCATGCTGTACACCACCTTATCTGGTTGCAAGTCTCACTAGGCATGTCAATCCTCACAGCATGCATCCCAAGTCTCAAGGGAGTCATCGACAGCCTCCTCGGGTCTACCTCCGTGGCCGCCATCCAGGCGCCTTACCATTTGACCTCATCAGGCAAAGACGGCAGCACGCTTCAACCAACGAGTTTGCCGATCGGCAGCGGGTCCAACACGAGACCGGGGTCTCATCTGGCGAGCGGCGCGGGAGATTCGAGGATCGCGAGGGCTGGTTTGGCTAGAGCACCCGACTGGTCGATCGGTTGCGGGATCCACGGTTATGCAGAAAAAGTAGATTTCGGTCGCAGTGAAAGTGTGAGGAAATTGACTGAAGATAGAGAGTTTGGGGCGTCTTCTGATGAGAGACGGAGATCGAGCTCACAAGAGGGGTCTATGAAGTCTGCTGAGACTGACTTGCGATTGTAAATTCAAATCGTTTCATTCCTTTGCATACGTACTGAGACCGAGTATGTCAATTGAGCTCTTGGGGGAGAGCCTCTCATTCTAGAGGCACAGCTCTGTGTTCTCGGATAGTTTTCGGAGAGAAAAACGATTCCGTGACTCATTTTATGAGATATTGAGATAAAATCAGTAGTGAGTGAGCTTGGCGACACAATTTGCTCACAACTCTCTAGTCCTGCGTGTATGAATCCAATCAGATGAGTCAAATATGACCTGCAAGCCGCTGAAGAATCTGCAAAAAGTCATTCCATATCATATGTGTACATGAGCATGGGAACTTTGATGAGAGCGAGTGAGCGAATGAGATCTCACACTGGTAACCCGAGGTGGCGCGATCCTGCAGAGTGCTGCGGGTTCGGGGATCCGGAGGAGTGGAGATGGACCCACCAACTGATCCGCTTAGAGTACGTACAGTATCCGGAGTCGACGGGAGTCGGAATGCATTGCCGGCGTGAAAACTTTCTCTTCTTGTTGCAGTCGCACGGACAGTTGTGTAAGCTGGCAGGGCTGTGTTCCTGACCTTGTCCTTCCCTATTTCCATCCCTTATTATCCCTCGCTCTCGCGGTGCAGAACGGCCCGATCCCAAGACGGGTTTGACACCACCCAATCCAGACGAAGAAAGCAATTGAAAGAAAAAGAAGACAAAGGCAGACAACCATCCTGGAAGACACACAGACTCCCTCTGATGCACCTCAGCTTTGGGCTAATCAAAGCAAACCTTACGGGAACCTAAAATCCTTAGCTGGGTCCCTGGGCTACCTTCAAGGACCTAATTGAAAAACCAACACCTGCCACCTCACCTTTTCTCCGCCCTACCCTTCCCGTGTCATCTCACACCCTCGTTCTGCGACCGAAAGTAGAGCCGTCCCCCCCGCCATGGACCCCCGCGACCGAGACGACCGCACCGGCGAGACCACGCCGCTGCTGTCGGATCAGCCGCATCACAAGCCGGACATTGAACCGGCGGGTAGCGGTGGTTGGCTGTCGGAAGCATGGCTCCTCTGTCGGTACTCATTACCGCTCATCGCCACCTATCTGCTACAGTACTCATTCACCGTCATCACGACATTCGTGGCAGGCCACCTCAGCGCCGATGACCTCGCCGCCGCTAGCATTGGTCTGACGACCATGAACATCATCGGCCTAGCTATCTACGAGGGCATGGCTACCGCCCTAGACACCCTCTGCGCCCAGGCTCACGGCTCTGGTCGCCTGACCGCCGTCGGCCTCCATGTCCAACGCATGCTCATTCTCATGGCCCTTGCCACCGTCCCAATTGGACTTTTCTGGGTCTTTTCGCCATCGATTCTCTCCCTGTTCGTCAAGCAGCACCACTTGGCCGTCAAGGCCGGCACGTTCCTCCGTGTCAGTCTGATCGGTATGCCTGGCTACGCCGCCTTCGAAGCCCTCAAGAGGTTCCTCCAGGCGCAGGGCGACTTCAAGAGCGCCATGGTCGTCTTGATCATCTGCGCCCCCATCAACGCCCTCCTCAGCTGGCTGTTCGCTTTCAAGTTGGACATGGGTCTGGAAGGCGCTGCCCTGGGCCAGGCTCTAGCCAACGACCTGCGTCCCGTCCTCCTGCTCATCTACATCGTCGTCTGGGGCCAATGGTCGCACCAGTGCTGGGGTGGATTCTCTCGCAAGGCCTTCACTGAGTGGAGCGTGCCGGTGCGACTCTCCATTGCCGGATCGGCCGTCAACCTGGGCGAGTGGGCTGCCTTTGAGATCCTCACGCTCAGCACATCCTACCTGAGCACCGAGCACCTCGCCGCGCAGACCATCTTGACGACCATCTCCGTCGTCATGTGGCACATCCCCTTCTCCATCTCGGTTGCTATCAGCACGCGCATCGGCCACCTAATTGGCGGCGGACTCGTAGCGACCGCACGGCGAGCCACGACCGTATACGCCATCGTCTTCACCGTTGTCGGTGTCCTGGACGCCATCCTAATCTTCCTGTTCCGCCACCAACTTGCCCTCGTATTCTCCGAGGACGCCGAGGTCCAAAGGCTCACGTCCGACTCCATGCTTGCGGTTGCGGCATTCCAGCTCATCGACTCCATCATCAGCGGATGCAACGGCGTGCTACGAGGTCTCGGCCGGCAGGCGGTTGCGGCCTTTGTCGTATTTGCCGTGAACTATCTGGCTGCAGTACCGCTCGCGGTCTGGCTCGAGCTGGGATCACCAGGCCTAGAGCTGGATGGTGCCTGGATAGGTCTTGGTGGCGGCATGGTTGTCATCGCCATCATCGAGTGCATTTACATGAAGGTGATTCGATGGCAAGACTGTGTCGAAAGTGTGAGAGATAGAGAAGGCATGTAAAGGCTTCATTTCAATTCAAAAGTAAGCGGATTAGCATACAAATACCTTAGAAAAGTTAATTAGACTTCATTATTCTCACGATACTTCGGTCCCTCCAACTGCAAGGACAATCCATCTTGGCGGCACCGTTATCCCTAGTTCCCTCTTGAATGTGCCGCTAAAGAACACTATTTTGGTGACGTATGCAGCATGACAACATTTGACACTTGGTGGTGTTGAGACGGAGTCGTATGAAGGAGACCACCTAGCGGGGACCACCTCAGCCCCTTTTCAGTGGGTCTTTGCATTATGTCAGCGAGACTCTATCAGAGCAGTGCGATGCACACAGTCTTCGCACCCAACCATCGGCATGTCGAGTGAACGATTTGCACCTTCACGTCTACAATCATCTCCATCCCTGAAGCACAACCTTCACCAGCAACCTGCCAGCTTGCTCCATCTCGACAACAAAGTTACCAGGGACTTCTAACCAGTATCGAAGTCATTTGACCACTCCCGCTGTCCAAAGCTGCCCAGCCAATCTTTCTGCATCAACACTGAATGGTGGTCCGTCGACGTTGAGAATACACGATGCCCGGCACCGGGGTCCAAGCCCATCCTGATGCTACCCAGGAGCGGCCGCCATGTATGGTCTGCTTCGATCTCGACAAGACGCATGTGCCTGAATCGGTCGACTCCAGTGTGCTTTCCTGCAGTCTCAGGAGCATTATTAAGGCCAGCAAGAAGGGATGCCAAATATGTTACGCCATCAAAGTTGCCATCTTTTGGGACAACATTGTCAACGTTCCCAAGAAGAGGCTTCTACTTGATGATTCGGTCGTCGCCATTTACTTGTTTGAGACTATCCATGTCCAATCAGCGGTCAAATATCGGGACTCCGCGAACAATGTCGTCGTCGTGAAGGGCCTAGTCGACTTGTTCACGAAACCAGGTGAGAAACCTAGTGATAAAGCTTGAGGGCTTTCGGGATGGGTATTGACGTATTCGCAGGCAAGCCGCTGCCGTGGAAGTCTTTTGGAGTTTGTAATGAGATTCCTCTCAAACTACACTCTAAGCATCGGCAGAAGACGATTCGTGGATGGGTCGATGAATGCAACGCAACACACAAGACATGTGGAACGAGATTGTACCCGTCTGAGCCCGGCATTGCTCCTCGGCGGTTCCTCTATCTTGGAAAAACCCCGCGGAACGGTATCAAACTAGTCGACTCTTGCTCGGTCTCTGGGCCCTACATCACCGTTGTTCACGGCTACACCGGTCCATTACTGGCTCCTTCATCGTCGAAAACCTCGGAAAACTTCGACCAGCGCCAAAAGCGTTTGCAGTGGTGGCAAATACCTGTGGCTCTGCAAGAAACCATGACAGTTGCTAGCGAATTGGGTATCCAGTATGCTTGGATCAAAGATTTCTGCGTCATTCAAGACATCGAAGAAGACGTAAACTGGCACTTAGCTCGAGAGGATATCATCTTTGGACGGTCATACCTCACTATAGCCTTGACAAGCGTCGAAGATCTCAGGCTGAGCAATTTCGGGCCCGAGCGACAGAACAATATAGCCGGCGTCGAACACGCGGTTAAATCCCTTGTCATCCAAGTCAGTAAATTTGGCCGCACACACAGCATTTATGCCCGGCAAACTATGCATTGGAATCATGCAGCATTCGCCAACAAGACTCTGTTACTTCCCATGGGCGATAAGGAAGAATCAGATGCGTTTGAAAAACAGTGTGGACTCTTCCATCATGCCCCTGCTTTCCAGCAACTTTTGCTGTCTCGCAGGGTGCTTTATCTGCACAAGTCAGAGCTAATGTGGGACTGCCTTGAACGGCCTAGATGCGAGTGCGGTGACTCAATGTACTTTGGACAAGCGTATGTACAGGACAACCTGAGGAAACCCACCTGGATCTCGCGCGGGGCTATCGGGCCTCCCGACTATGTGCTCAAACTTTACAAAGCCCTAACGCCGGCCGACCCCGAAGAGAGGCTGGCAGTTGTCGCCGGCCTCTTTCGACACATACTTCGTCTCAACGGAAGATCCCACTTCGCCGGCATCGCAGTAGACACACCTGAAGACCTGGCGCTTGACCTTCTATGGACCACCCTACCACCTGAGAGCGCGCAACTAAACGAGCTTGACCAAGATTCCCCATCTATCCCAGACGCATATCGACATCACACCAGTCGCATCCCGTCATGGTCCTGGGCATCCATGGTTCTCAGCAAGGGAACTACATTTGGAGGAGCCTCACGCGTATCGCCAAGCTACACATTCGACTCGTTCTGTCGCAGTACGTCATTCGACTCAGTGGAAATGTTCTACGACGAGTTGCCCGGATCCGACGATAGTCTGCTAGCCACCAACTACCGCATAAAAGCCAAAGCGGCGATTCGGCCGATCACTGCCGTGCCACCGATGGGCAGAAGACCCCTAATCCCACATCTGTTCCACTGTTACGATGGTGATCCCATGGATCGCAATTCTCACATGATCTTCCGGTTTCTGCCGGATTGCGCGAGACTTCGAGGTTCGTTCCAAGCCAGTGACGGTTTCAAATGTTACATTATGCTGCTAGGCATCGTGACGCCAGTTGGGCATGACCTGGAGGGACCAATCGAGCAGTCGTGTACCTGTGCACACAAGGAAAGCCATATGCAAGTAGGCTTGGTCCTGCGAGAATCGCTACAGAGTGAGGGTGCATTCGAGCGAATTGGGACGTTTGCACTGCCGGAAAGTCGCGGAATGTTTGTGAATGTCGTGCCGCGGGACTTGATCCTCGTCTGATGCAGGATGGATGGCTTTTTAGCTGGTGGAGGACTTTTTTGTCAAGCCAAGGTTGATATAGACCAATCCCAATCTTCTTGAGGATGACAAAACAACCTCGATGATTGTTTCCTTCATGGAAGGTAGGACGACTTTTTAAGATGCTAGATATGCTGGTAGTCGAAAATCGTCGGAAGTGGGGCACAGCCCGGCCATGAACTGACATGTCCGGCTCTCTGAAGTGACAGAAAGAAAGCATGCAACAATGCAAACATTGATAGATGTCTGAGTTCTTTTAACTTATCTCAAGTATTGATGATTGACGTTTCCGTTATGCCTTAAAGCACTTGACACTAGGCGCAGAGTCACAATTTGATGCATATCCAGCGCCTGAGCAAGCCCTCTCCACACATCTGTTCGTGGTGGCCAGTACCTGCTGCCAACTGCCGAACAGTCACACCACCAAAAAGGAAGGCACTGCGATAGATAGAGGTGAAGTATCTCAAAATACAAAAGAAGAGACGCGATCGGTGGGACTCGAACCCACAGCCTTCCGATGATCTTTTACTCGTAAAAGTCGGACGCTCTGACCAAATTGAGCTACGAAAGCAACCGCTGTTGGATGACGATTCCCGCTCAGATTGGGGCTTAGGTATTGTTTGCTGTAGACTGGTGGAGCAGCCCCTCCGATGGGTCCCGTCCCGGTCAAGTCCGTCAGCCGAGAGGAGCCAGTGTCTTTGTTCGTTCTGCTGTTGACTCATCATTCCAGGTGACACTAGAGTTTAGGTGTGAGTAATTTCTTTACTATTGTTGTTATGGTATATGACTCTATGAGACGTTAGCATAGTCTTCGTTAACCAATCTCGTTGCCCGGATCATGGCGAAAGTGGCAAGCTGTTAGCTTGTTTGTTGGTGGGTTGAGATCCTCCCTTGCAGGAGCTTGCAGAAGGCTAGCATCCATGAGCTCAGCTACGAGCCACTGATACCAGCAATAACCACTTGGATCGATAGCTCAGTGGTAGAGCGAGAGATTGCAGTTTCTCAGCTGTAACTATCTCTAGGCCCCGCGTTCGAATCGCGGTCGGTCCTTGAACACCCTTTTGTCGTTTATTGCAGATTGACGGTGAGCAGAGGGGAGAGTTTGCTATGTTTTTGTGTGCGGTCTCCGCAAATGGGACTCCCTTCGCGTGCATTTTGGGGTTGTCCACTCAGAGTTGAGCTAGGAGGATCCACCAATTATGTAAATGACTCGGCGGGACCTCTCGACTAGAATAGTAGAAACAGAGCGGGTATTGCGAATGAAGTGGAATCAGTCTTCTCATAAGTCTTCATCAGTGCGATTTGATTCAAGTATGTACGTACGTATTGTATACAGCACCGCGAAAAAGATAGATGGAGTTGCAAAACGGGCGGGGTTGTCAATATCAAAGAGGCACCATGAGAGCGGCACCAGCCACTACCGCAACTCCCCAAACAGCTAACATCACGCCATTAACCATAGACGAGCCGGCGGCTTTAGAGGGAACTCCAAAGCTGGGCGTCTCATTCGGGCCCGTCGACGAACCTCCTCCAGAAGCAGCAGCCGAGGTCTGAACTACATCCCCAGAAGAGCCCTTATTCACAAGCGTGATCCCAGGCGTGATCAACGCGCCGACGTAACTCGTGCTCTCCTTCGCCTCAATCGTCACTGTCTCCGGCTGCAACGACACAACTGAGCCCTTGGTCGATATGGAGCTGCCCGTAACGACTCTCCCGTGGAAAGTAAAGGTGCGGTCTACCACTTCCACATCGTTTACATTGTACAACTTGCAACCTGTTGTGGCCGTGAAGGCCTCTCTGGGGGTCGAAGAGTAGCAGTTCCCATAGAATCCCGCAGTATAACCACTAAGAGAATAAGAACATATCATCAGACCTGTCTCAACCTTCGAGAAGAAGGCCAACTTCATACAGGGTACTCAACTTACCTCGGACAGCACGCGATCACAGTCTCCGAAGGCTCCATCGCAGACATGAACAAATTCGCAGCCGGTTCAAACGTGGGGTTAACCTCCGACGCAACAACCGTCGTCGTCACGGCGTCGATCGTCAATGTCGGGTCCGCAAAGACGCCGCTCAAGGAGTGAGACGACGTCGCGTCGCGGACGCCGTAGCCTGCGGTGACCCATCCGGAGGGACACTGGCTGCCCGGTGAGAAATGGAAGAAGAATTGCTGGGTAGATGTCCGGCGTGAGTGGTATTCCGAGTTCATCGCATCGCCGGAGGGGATGCAGTCGTCGAACGGGTCGCGGTCGACTTGGCAGGTTTCTTGCCAGTATGCCACGCCCGGGATGTTTTTGCGAGCTAGGGCCGGGGTTGGGACTGAGGTTGCGCATGATGCTGGGGCTGTCCATACCGTTGTTAAGGGTCCTAGATTGACGAGGGCTGCCCCGGAAAGAGTAGGCGTCGGCATGGTGAAGGAAGGGGAGGGATTGGATGTCTGACCGAGATCTTGAACTTGTACTGTCATGGTGTAAACGTTGAGGGAATCGCGGAATCTTGTGTGGTTTTCATACTGTTGCCTGGACAAGAGTATGACCTGACGGTCGATATTAGCTATGGCGCAGCCCAATCATCACGCATTACTACCCCAGGTTATGAGATCCTTGAGAAAATAGACAGCTTTGATTGCTGGAATCTCCTGATGCAACCGCAATTCTAGCCAATGATACATATATCTCACGTCAAAGGGACTTTGGTAAGTGCCGTTTGACATCGTTCACATGAAGGTTCAACAAGAAGCGGATTTAAGCTTAAAAGGTTGGAAATTGTCTAGAATTGAATAGCAGTATTAACTCAGACCAAAGTTTCATCACTCACGTGCCTAGTGAACCTCAATCGCTGCAACCAATTTCGATACCCTTGGCAAACAGCTTGCCTCCAACTGGAATGAATCCAGCAAGAGCACCTGCGATACTTCCAACCCAACCGCATCCACCACTCTCTGAGTTAGCAGTAGCAGAAAACTCAATAATCAAGTCATCAGGCTGCAGCTGACCGTCAATGTACGCCGTCACCCGCAGCAACGACGGCACCTTGTGGCCCCAAGTATGGTTCATGCACTGCGCCAACCCGGGCGAGTTCTCCTTGCGGCACGCGTACTGGCAATTCCTCGAGCTCTGGGGACCACACGCCGCGTCGGGCGTGTACCCGACGCCTTCCATCCACGTCAATCCCCGGCAGCCGTTGAAGACCTCGTACCCATAGGGATCCGACACCCTGCTCAGGACCTCCCACATGGACTGGACGAGGCCGTCGCGCATCTCGTTGCCCTCGAGACCGGGTGTCTTGCCCCAGGCGCCGTTCATCTTCACCCGCACCGTCACGTCTGGGTCGTAATCTTCGGCGTGCGTGCACTCGTTGGTCTGGGCGCCGGCGGAGCGGTCCGTCATGATGGCTCTGGTGTTGCCGGTCTCTCCGTAGATTGTTTGCCACGTTACGGCGAAGAGGTCGAGGTTGCCGACGTCGATCATCCTGTCGCTGAATCGCACTTCCATGTGGACTGCCGCCGAGGCCTGGCTGGCCAGAGTGGCGATGAGGAATGTGGCGATCGTCTTCATATTTGTTCTTGGACTGGAGTCTGGGCCGTGATGTTAGCTTCGACGTCTTAGTAAACCAATGTTATTGCACCTGGGACCTACAAGAAACTGCACTGAAGAGATCTGAGGAGATTCTGGTCACACAACTCTAGCGGTGGCGTTCAAAGATGTTCGAGGGTAGCCTGCATTCGAATCTGAATCAAAATATGGGCTTGAAGCCCCTATTATACTTAGACTCACATCCATTCCGTCGAGTGGCTCCATCCATCTCACGATGATCCGAAGCCTGTCTCCACAAAGCTTGCCAAGTTATTGAACTCAATCCCTCGTACTCCAGATATCCTACTCGAAAAAGGAAATGCAGTTTGATGGCCTGATAGGCAGATGCCCATAACCCACATGAATCTTCCGTCTACAAGCGCCTCCTGGCAAGATGATTGGAAGCAATTAAAGCGTGCCAAGCAAAAGTGCTCCTGAGTTTCTCGTTACCAACTTTGAACCTATCCAAAAGGTGCCCCGGTTGCCTAGCCGGCCACAGCATGGGAATTGCGCACCTTGAGGAATAAGGATTTTACGGCACATGCATGCCACGTTTCTGACATGTCAAATCCCATCGGCTTAGGATACCAGGAATGAAAGGACTTTCTCCACGTTGGAACCAGGGGCATAGCTTGGGAGCATCCCGTAAAGGAAGTCTGGAGTTGCATTGACGTACGGAATCAGGAAGTCTTCCCCATTTAAACCACTATTCACGATCCAAATGGCAGGAGGCTCAATTCAAAAGTTCCCCTTGACAGGTTGGCCAAGAATATCGAGGGCACGCGCGTTTCAGTTGTTCAAATCAGCACCCTCCAGATCAGGCATTTCGAGTCATGAAAAGAAGTAGGTGGTGAGCAGGTTTGCTAAGAGCTTCTTCGTTGTTTCTTTTGCACAGCACTACTGCAGTTCGATGGAGACTCAGGCGACATAAAGTTTGTATATACAATTATTCGCTGAAAAATGCCATTGTTTCTAAAAGCCCAATTCTTATATACATAGTTTTTTGGGGCAAGGCAAGTTGAAGCTGGTGTTCACATACTTATTGATACTGCAGGCTTACTTATTCTCCTCCAACAACGAGTGCACATTGTCGTGATATCCTGGAGCAGCCCCTTATCAAAGTGTCAATCTTCACCCGTCACACGGACCTCCGGCCGCATTCCCGGAAATGTGCTGCCCACCACATGCAATAGTGGGCACCTCGTCCCATTTCTCACCTAATATTTACGCTTATCCGCTTAGATCCGTTCCGTAAGTGGTCTTATAACGGATTGGACCCAGTTTCCAGCGTGGCATTCCGATCCCAAGTCCTCGCCCGCTCGGGAACTCGGTCTTGGTACGCCCAAGTACCCGCAAGGGTTGGGGGGCTGCGAGTCATTTCGAGCTCCATAGGGCTGACTCGTGTAACCACGGCGGCGAGATCCGACGCGATGTTTGTATAAGTGGAAGGTGATTATAATCTGTAGGCCTCTCTTTGAGTATACAGTCGATGATATGCAGCTAGCGGCAGGTATCAAGTGTGTCACACATCAGTCTGCTGCTCACTACCTCTATTCTCAGTATCCTCTTACCAATGCGAATGCTATTGCTATTGCTACATAGTATTACTTTCTTTCCTTCCATACTCCACATTTTCCTTGAGAGAAGCGTAGGGTAATTTAAATAATGCTAGTGGTTGTTAGAATTGGGGCAGTCGCGTGTTAGCCGGCATCCTACTCTAGTATCCACTTACTATGATAGAGTAGTTTGAGTTTCGTCGCAGAAGGGCAGAAGCCTCACTCATGGGGCTTGATCGAAGACCCAAGTTCTTTGTCTTATGAGTATTGAGCAAGTGGGCTATCTCAAGGGGCAAGCAGTCACCTTGCAACCTTGGTCGGACAGCAAGTCACTGTATTTCAATCAAAGATAATCAAGATGTTCTACGATAGACTGCCTCCATCAAACCGGCAGACATGATGAAGACTTACATCCTAGACTAAGCGTATTTAAGTGATTTTTGCTTATGGATAAACCTCGATTAGGCTAAAATCTGCTCATCTCATGCTTCTAGACGCTCCATGACCCTCTAAAGACTTTTGACCATGGGAATATTTAAGTCGAACACCAATCACCAACTCGTCGGAGTCAGGCATTTAGACCTGAGCGATGTGGTCTCCCTCTACCTATTTCTTTTTCTTTTTCCTACCCAAATTACTAGAACACTCGTTTCTCACTTTGATTGATACCTTTTCAGAGAGTAAGATGTTGGCGGGCGAAAGTGCGCGCAGAGGCGTAAATTTTATACTTCCGCGTGGCTTAGGTACGTCCAACTTATTAAAGAATTAATTTCAAGTACGCGACGGCGAGGAGTCATCAGTCAGGAAGGCGTCTTTCTCCGGAAGGCAGTACCTGCTTGGTGTTGTGGTATTTCCCGTGGCTCAAGATACTCACCTTCTCTACAAAGGTCGAAGGAAGGAACAAAAAAAAAAGCCTGCGGTCCTGAATACAACAAAGCCACAACTAAAAACGAAGCAATCAGAAAGCTCCACAACATGTCTCCAGCAAAGAAGAAGTCCGGCAAAAAACAACCATCCTCCGATCCTCTCGATAACGATGACCCCAATCTGCCCGTCTTCTTCCACATGCCGCAAGAGAAGTGGCCATGGCGCCAATTCTGTCAGTGGTATCCCTCCGTCTTCACCGTATCGAAGCAAGAGATCTCCGCCCTCTGCGGCCGCGAAGTCGACCCCGTCGACCCGTACGGAAGTATCACCGTCACCTGCGCGGAACAGTTTATGATGTACTGCAAGGCAGCCTACTTTGGCGACACGGAGCGGCAGGCGCGCATCATGCAAGAGAAGGACCCCAAGGAGCAGAAGAAGCTCGGCAAAAGCACCGTTGGCTTCAGCGACGCGAGGTGGGACGATGTCAAGAGCAAGGTCGTGGAGATGGGCAGTATTGCCAAGTTTGGACAGAACCCGCACCTCAAGGCGATCTTGATGTCCACAGGGGAGAGATTGTTGGTCGAGGCGTCGAGGACTGATCGAATTTGGGGCATCGGGTTCAAGGCGGACGAGGCTATGGTGAACCAAGCAAATTGGGGCGAGAACCGCTTGGGCAAGGCGCTCATGGAGGCGAGGAGACTCCTGAGAGAAGAAGAAGCTCAAGAGAGGATGGGAACGAAACCAAAGAGCGAGGAAGACGAAGAGGATCAGGAAGAAGAAACTACGCAGGGTATTGCTCACACCCAGTACCTGCCCTGATAACCATCATTGGCAAAGTCTACACACAACTATCTCTGGCTCTAAGCACCCAATTCTACACTTGAGCTCCGTTCGACTCCGCAAATCCGCTGTCGACCTTGACTAACATTCTCCTTGCGTACACTCTCTTCGCCCACTTATACGCCTCAACACCAGCCATGAAGATGAAAACATCGACAAACACAATCGCCCACTCCCAGCTTATTCCATGATGCATAAACACCACATGATCCAACACGGGAATATACAACGTCGGAAACACAATGAAGAATACAACCGTCACAGAGAAGAAGAGGAACTTGTTGCCCAACAGATGCTGGCCCCAAGCCTTGAAGCCCGCTGGCATGTAGAAAAGAGACCGTCGCGAATCGATCAGCTCCCAGGCGAAGAGGAGGAAGATCCAGGTCATTGTCGTGTAGCTTGTAGCACGGGCGCGGAAGACGGGCTCGCAGGCGGCAGAGTAAGCGTTATTACACTCGAGGCCAAGGTTGCCGCCGTTGAAGCCGAATACAACTAGAGTGAAGGCTCCGAGGACGCAGCCTGCCATGATAAGTCCATAGACCACCATGTCGAGGATGAATTCGTGCGTGAAGACGCCGTATTTGAGCTGGGATATCATCGTCAGTACTCAGCCTCCTGCTTCCACCGGCACTTTAAAGTAGGATGCTCACATTTTGTGGCGGACGGTTAAGAATGTCCGGCATCGCCTTCTCGAACCCAAGCCCAGTCTCACAGAAAGCACCGGTACCAAGCAACATCCACAGAATCTCCACAGGCGACAACAAGAAGACCGATGTATCAGTCTCGTCCTTGAATGCCAATCCCGTAAGCAGCGCAATCACGAATCCGATATTCGCCGCCAAGACGTGGAGGATAAACTTTTGGATATTGTCAAAGATCCGACGACCTTCTTCAATGGCGTTCAGAATGGACGCAAAGTTGTCATCCGTCAAGACGATGTCGGAAGACTCCTTGGCCACGTCCGATCCGGAGCCCATGGCAATGCCAATATCGGCTCGCTTCAGACTTGGGCTGTCGTTGACTCCGTCGCCGGTCATGGCTACGTAGCGTCCGCGGCGGTGAAGGGCCTCAATCATTCGAACTTTAGTACTCGGCGCGCATCGCGCCACTACTAGAGGCAACTGCGGCAGCTCGTCGATCTGGGCGTCAGTCAGAGCGTCAAAGTCGTGTGCGGGCATGACCATCGCTTCAGCGACATCGGCAGCAAGAAGCCGAAGCTTTTCAGGCGACGGCAGGATGCCGACTTCTGTGGCGATAGCTCGGGCGGTCTGGGGGTGGTCGCCGGTGAGCATGTGGACGACGATGCCAGCACCTTGGCACATCTCGACGCTGGGCCGGGACTCAGGACGGGGAGGATCGTAGATGCCGATGAGGCCACGGAAGGTGAGGTCGGTCTCAAACTTGTTGCGATTCGGAGCTTTTCCGTCTAGACATTGGGTTTCTGGAAGGTCACTGCTGAGAGTTCGATGTGCGAGCGCGAGGACACGCAGACCTTGGCCGGCCAGCACCTCCATATTGGACAAGATATCTTCTCTGTCGCGTTCGGTCAGAGTTCGGGTATCAGAGCCGTATGCGATGGTATTACAAGAGGTCAAGACACGCTCGACAGCACCCTATAGAATTGTTCATGTCAGCCTTATACATACGTTGATCAATGTGTGCAAGCCGAGACTCACCTTTGTGAAGATATGCATCTCTTGCGACGCCACTTGCTTGAAGACGACAGACATTTTCTTGACATCCGAGTCAAAGGGAAACTCTGCAATCTCTTTCCAAGAAGCTCCTGAGCCTTGAGACAGCTGCAACCTGTTCCAGCCAAATCGAGACGCAAACACCTCAATAGCAATCTCAGTGGGTGCTCCGCTAGCCGTCCACTCCCCAGAGCTTATGGGATCGTCTGCATTCTGCTTCAGCGTAGCCAGATTTGCTAGCGACGCAACGTTCAAGAACCATTGCAGATCAGGCTTCGTCGCAGGCTCATGGTGCGTATCAATCGATTGGGCCTTCTGGTCGTGTTCTTTCTCGGAGACAGAGCTGACATCTTTTGGTTGACCAGCCGCAAACTGGACTTCACCAGCAAAAGGATTATATACATCATTCGTGGTGTGGACAGAGTACGTGCCGCATCCCGGAAGCCATGCCTTGCGGACAACCATGCGCCCTCGGGTAATCGTGCCGGTCTTGTCGGAGCAGATGTCTAGGACGACCGGCGGTTAGAGATTAAGCAAGTACCAGACATGATAGTCTCCACCGAGATTGATAGGATATGGACCACTTACTGCTAACTCCTCCAAGCGCTTCCAAACTCGAAAGATTACGGACAATGACATGACGCTCAAGCATCTTCTTCGTACCCGCGGCCATGGTGACAGTCAGGACCAGCAACAGAGAAACAGGGATCGTCCCAATCGCAGTAGTGACCGCGTAGATAATCACATCCTTGCGAGAGTCAAACTTGTTGACGCCAAGAACAACGATGGCGCAGATAATGGCAAACAAGAACAGCCACAGAAACAGCTGAGAGAGCTTCCTCTGCAACGGTGTGCCAATGGTCAGTCCCAAGAACTCACCGATCCACGATTTGGCAGCCATGTACCCAGCGGCGAAGTACGCAAAGACCGAAGCGCTCCCATCCTCATTGCGCTTCACCCGGGACTTGTCACCCGCGCCGCCGTTCAATGCACCAGCAATGAGACCAATCTCAGTAAACATGCCAGTGGCAAACACGACGCCGCGCCCGCGGCCCTTTGTGATGACCGTGGAGCTGTATACCACGTTAAGTCGATCCCCGGGGCCCGTATCTTCATCAAACACCGAATTGGGCATCTTGGATACGGGCGCGGACTCTCCGGTGAGCAACGCCTCGTCTGCCTCCAAATTGACAGCCTCGATGAGTCTTATATCCGCTGGTACCGAGTCTCCCGTATTCAAGTCGATGACGTCTCCCGGCACGACGTCTGACGTTTGGATCTCGATCGTCTTACCGTTGCGCACGACCTTGCATGTCGGTTTGCCGAGGTTCTTGAGCGAGTTGATTGTCTTTTCGGCTTGGAGGGTCTGAATGAAGCCGATGAAGATGTTGAGGACGATGATGCCGCCTAGAATGCCGCCTTCTATCCAGGCTTGGATGCCGAAACTTGCGCCGAGAGCTAGTAGGAGGACCTGTTTTCAAGTTTTGATGGTCAGCTCGTAAAGTTGTGCACTTCCGCGAGCAGACTGAGCGAGATTCCGGCTGCGTCATATTCAAGAGACAACTTACCAGAGTCATGGCGTTGAAAATCTGCTCGAGAAATATTTTCAAAGGCTGGACGCCCTTTTGTTGACGAAGCTCATTGCGCCCCAATTCCGCCAACCGACGAACGGCATCGTCGGGGTCTAAACCTTGGGTTGCGTCGACATGGAGTTCCTTGAGAACCTGAACAGCCTCCAAAGAATGAGGTGGTCGAGAGAGAGGCTTATTGGATTGTCCCGAGACATGCTCCTGGAAGGAGTCTGCCGTCTTTTCGGTTGCTTTCATAGCTTGAACGTTGCTCAAGTCACAAGTCCAAAGTCAATTTCGAAATCTGAAAAGAAGAAAGCAAGCCAACTCCAACCTGAGCTGTACGTTGTGATATTTGTAAAGCAGGATTTCTTTGCCATCTCGACCTTTACGCGAAATTCTTCGCTCTACTGGAGAATACGAAAGTCCAAGCGCATCATAACGTTCACTCTGCTGGTCCCAAAGAGGCAACCAAGACTCAACGGCAATGATATAGAGACTCAGGGCTCCATCTTCTGCTTTGCTCATTCGTTGGGAGACTTTACTGGTGTTACCCAGTTGATGAAACCTGCGAGATGAGTCCGAATGTCCGGTTGCCATTACGTGGGCTGTACGTAACAAAATCTGTAGTCATTGGCTTGTTTCTAGATAGCTTGAGAGGGTATAGAGTCAATTGACTCGACTCTAGAAGGTTTGGCGAAAGACCAAATGCTTTGACCGGGGCTAGAAAGGTTACAAAGCAGTTGCTGGAGTAGTCCGGCAGAAAGACATTTGCATTCAATCATAGTCCACGGGAGCGACCCGGGAAGTGTATGTACGGCATGCAAATAACTTTCCTAATTAGGCAATCGACGTTTGAGCGTGGCTGACTCATGTGGGGAGCCTTCTCGTGCACGTAATGAGAACAAACCTCTCGGGACGTCGATGATCTCCGGGATGTGGAACATGAAAAGCGAGGCCTTGCTTTGGGAGCCCGTGGAGGCGGGGAGACGCTAGGCGAAAAGAAGCAGCCAAGACGCAAGTAAAGGCTTGTTTCCGCTCGATTCATGTTTGCTCTGGGACGCTAATGTTAACATTTCTGTCCAAGTCACAGATCGTTAGCCTAAGCGACCGGAACACTGCATCACATTCTATAACACACGAAGAGAGGCCAAGATTATATCGCGAATGACCAAACCAGCATACCGATGATGAAATCTGCTTAGGAATGCAATGCACGTCCGGAGTTTCTCTAATCCGCATCTCCCTTGACCCAAACTCTGTAAGTCTGTATTACCAATCTGAAGGGGAAACACCACCAAATCCAGCGAGACCCCTTCAACTTGAACAACTAGACGTCGATGACGGATCATACACCCATCAACCGCCTCATGAGCGGTGTAAACATCCCCTCTCCGTCCATAAGCTGCGCCGCAGGACTCACAAAGTCATCAGCGCAGTGTGCCATACACCCAAACCACCCATACTCGTCGATCCACTCCATCTCGTTCATCCACCCGCTCAGCTCCTCCGTAAACGCCTCCACCTCGCCCGGGTCCCGACTAATAGACGCAATTTCGGACACGTTGAGCTGCAGCCCGTACCGCTCGTACATGGACGTCAGGTATCTCTTTGCGTGCTCGACATCGCCGCTGTAATAGTGCACCCCAAGAAAATCAGGTCCCATTTTCTTCTTCTTCTTTTCCTCTTCCTCGTGAACGAGACGCATAAACTGCGCAAGCCACGCTTCGCCCCCGGGATCGCTAGCACATGCCGGGCCAACAAGCTTCTTGCCCCTCTTCTCCCGCAACTCGGGCACCACTTTCTCCAGCCACCACGCTGCGGCGTCCGCCGGCGAGATCCCCTGCCGCTCCGGCTCGTTAAGGTAGTGGACCATTTCGGCGTCCGAGTCGCGGATCCAGTCCCACTCTTCCGTGTCCAGCTGCGCGCGCGTGCGGATCATGGGGCGGAAGGGGAGCCTGCCCTTGAGCTCGGGCGGGTACCATGCGTTCCAGTTGTGGACGGATTTGAATGATGTAGTTGGAGTCGTTGCTTCTCCTGCTGCTGCTGCTGTGGGCTTGGTGGTAGAGTCTGGTGGCGATGTAAAGAGCTGATCGATTGCGTCTGGGCGGTCGCGGGTGTTTGTGTAGTCCCATAAGAGGCAGCGTTTTGAGGGTTTGGGGTTCGCCATTGTTGGAATGCTGAATGAAGTATGCTGAATAGAATGACTACTGATCTAGGTATTGTGGTCTCCAAAGATATGATTGATTGCCATGGGGTTTTATGAAAATGAGGTTTGGTAATTGGCAGTTCGTTGTTGATGGTTAACAGTCATCACCCGGAAGTATGTGCCGCTGCCTTACGTCACGGCCGCCAAAATCAAGTTCGCGGCCACCGGCTCCGATTTGGTGACAGCTCCGCCCCGATGACTTTGTCCACCTTACGCGTCCACGAACAGGCCACTGACATTGAGGCCATTGCCCAGCTGCTATCTCGAATATGTCAGTACATCAACATAAGCGTGAGATTGCTTCACAGTAGCCCAGACAAATTCGGAAAATGCCGCCCAAAATTTTGAACAAAAACGCTTTTCTCTTCCTTGATATATTTTGACAAAATGGTGTATCCTCCAACAGAGGTTCCCACACTCTACTTTCTGTTGCGCTGCGGTCTCGCGTTCTTCTCCATGCGCTTCTGCTTCTCCCATCTCGCCTTCCTGATATCCTCGACGCCCTTGATCTCCTTGCGACTGCCCGCGCCGTCCTTGTACTGGCCGACGCGCTTCTCCTTGGCCTCGGCAATCCTCTTCTTCCGCACCTCGTAGTCGTCCCGGAACTTGTCGGCCTGCTTTGGCGCCTTCTCCTGCTTGTGCTTGTACTGCCGACCGGATGGCAGGTCCGGCAGGTTGCCCTTCTCCATGCCGCCCACCTGGATCCGCCCCAGCCGGTTGGCCTTGCGCCAGCGGTCAAAGCGCCCGCTCTGGAAGCTGGCCGCGATCTTGACGCCGCTCTCGCCGCGCACAAACTTGGACCCCTTGGAGCCGTCCTCGTCGTTGGCCCGCGCCACGTACTTGTTCTGTTTCTTGTCCCAGCGCATGCCAGCCGCCCGCGTTGGCTCGCCGAAGCCCTTGGCCGTCTCGTCGTTTGTGAGGTCCATCTGCACGTCGCGCGCCGCCTGCACGAAACTCGACGTCTGCGCGCCCGACGTGACGCCGTATCCGCGCTCCTCGGCCGCGTTGATCGTTCTCGGGGTGTAGGACATGAAGACGTCCGAGTCGCGCCAGGAATCCGGCTTCTTCTTCTTCTCCTTCTCGCCTGTGTTGGTGATCGTGACCTCGAGGCCGTCGTTGTCGTCGGAATCGTCCGAGTTGTAGGCTTCTGCGGCACCGTCGTCTACTTCTCCGTCGAGTCCGTCATCTGAGTCGTCCTCGGCACCGTTCAGACCTTCCATTTCATCGGCCGAGTCTAGCTCCTCCTTCTTGTTGCCGCGGTGTGGCGTGATGCGTTTCCTCAGCTGCTTCATGACTTCGACTGCCTCACTGCTCGACCCCTTGCCTCCCTTTCCAATCTCGAAAATGGTCTCGGCCGGCCTGAAGCCACTGATCTTGGCCATCATGTCGTTGCGGGCTTGTTCCACAGCGCTGGCGTCTTTACCGAATAGAGGATGAAGTTCATGCCAGCCCTTGGTTCCCACAAGCTCTCGGGCTCGTTTCGCGCTCTGGCTTGAAGCAGAATGCCTAGTCTTTAGGTACAGCTTCTCGGCCTTTGTCGAAACTTTGCGCAGCGCCTCCAGATCGCCCTCCTCTTTCAAGATCTTGTCCATCCACTCCATGTTGATTTCAATCCTGTCTCTCTTCAATCCACCAACGACGACGTCTTCGGCGTAGGATGGATTCTCGGTCTCATGGCCAGCGACCAGCCTCCGGCCGAGGAACAGCTGGAGATCCAGCAGGTAAGGTGTATCGAGTTCGCGCACAATACTGTATGCCCAACCCCTCTGACCGGCACGAGCCGTACGTCCAACACGATGGACAAAGACCTTGGGTTGCGGGGGGAAATCGTAGTTGATGACGTTTGCAAGAACGGGGATATCGATACCTCTGGCGGCGACGTCTGTCACCACCAAGATGTTGGCTCTGCCGTTTCGGAAGTTCTCGGTGTTGATGCGACGCGCTTCCTGGTCGAGTGAACCGTAGACGTGAGAGACTGCGTAGCCGGCCTTTGTGAGAAGCTGCGCCAGGTATTCAACGTGATGCTTTGTTGCTGCGAAAATAATGGTCGAGTGTTCCGTCGGTTTGCCGGTACCGCCACCCTCACGCTTCCGCTTCTTTGATGGTACAACATCCAGGGGAACGCCGTCTGGTGTACCTTGTGGCATCTTAATCAGGTCGTTGAGAATATGCAGCAGGGAAGCCTCCTTTTCGGCTCCCTTGACGGAGAAGAAGGCACTCTCAAGGTCGGGGGAAACCTTGGTCTCGGCGTCCAATCGCACCAGGCTCGGGTCTTGCAAACCGGCCCTCGCAAACTCAACCAATGATGCCGGCAGTGTGGCGGAGAACAGCAGACTCTGCCTCGACAACGGAAGGGCGTGGAGAATCTCGGTAAGCTGGGCAGCGAAACCCATTTCGAAAAGACGATCGGCCTCGTCAAAAACGACGTACTTGATGGACGACAGGTCCAGACCCATCTCGACCTTGAGATGGAGGAAACGACCGGGGGTGGCAATGACAATATCCGGGTTCGACGACATCATGCTGAACTGGTCCTCCATGCTGTCACCACCGACGAGCAGGATGCACTTCAGGTCCGTCCCCTTGCTGAACTCCTTAACGACCTTGAGCGTCTGGAGCGCAAGTTCACGAGAGGGCGACATGATGAGCGCGCGGGTGCCGACCTTGGCGCTGTGGGCGCGCAGGCGCTCAATCATGGGAATCACGAAAGCCGCAGTCTTTCCGGAACCGGTTCTCGCCATGCCCACGACATCCTTGCGGTCCAAGATCAGGGGGATTGTCTTTCGCTGAATCGGCGTGGGGACGGAGAATCCCTTCTTCGTAATCGCGCGCAGGAGGCCGGCATTCAGACCTGCGAAACCCAGAAGGTCAGTATCTCTAGCAATAAGAACCAAGGTCGTGTAGTGTCCAGCGACTTACCCATGGCCTGGAAACCACCACCTCTCTTTACCGACTTTCCCTTGATGTTGGACGACTTGCGGAACGAAGCAGCCTGCTTCAGCGCAATGAACGCTTCGTCGCCATCCTCATCCTCCTGCCCCTCTTCGTGGCCGTTTAGGATCCCGTCCATGTCAAAATCAATGCCTCCCACATCCTGGCCAGCGTCGCTGCCATTGTCGCTGACGTCGAACAAGTGACCGGCGATGTCGACCTCTCCGTCGGAGGGAGTAGGAGATGCGGCGCGACGAGGCATCTTGGAGCTCTGTGTTAATTTCTGGCGAGGCCCCCGGGGTTTTCGGTCGTAGGTTTGGGCCTGTCGAAAAAGTTGGTCTTCCCAAGGCGCGGGTTTTGCGAAACGGCAGAGCATCCAAGAGCTGGGCGGCGTCTTTTCGAAAATTTGGGCTTGGGCGGGACGAGAAATTTCTTATCGGTTAGCCTTATCTTAGCGTCGTGGGGCAAGCGTTTGTTGGCAAGGGTCTTTAGCGGGTCCAAGTGGCTGTCACTGAGCCTCGTCTCGTGCTCACCAACCGCGCTCGCGACCGTCAACCTCCAACTACCTTACATCTACAGTTCTCACTGCCAGTCTACCGAGGTACACCTGTCAACATCAACCTTCCCTCAACAGGTATTCGGGCATCATCATGGCCAGCGAAGACGTCAAAGAAGAGAAGGACGCACTCGATGCGCTCGAGATCGAGGCAAAGGAGTTTGACAAGGTAAAGGCGATCGCCAGACAAACCAAGGTGCACACTTTCCGAAGCCAAATGCTAACAATTCCCCCCTTGTCCCGTTTTCCAGGATGCAGAAATCGACAGAATCCTCAAAGCCTTCAGGCTAGATGCCTACGCCGTCCTCGACCTACAACCAGGCGTCCCCGAATCCGACATCAAAATCTGTTACCGCAAAAAGTCCCTCCTCATCCACCCGGACAAGACCAAGAACCCGCTCGCGCCCGACGCCTTTGACCGCCTGAAAAAGGCCCAGACAGAGCTCATGGACGAGAAGCACCGCGAGCGCCTTGACGAGGCCATTGCCGACGCCCGCATGCTCCTCATCCGCGAGAACAAGTGGACCGTCGACAGCCCCGAGCTCAAGACGGACGATTTCGCGAAAAAGTGGCGCAACAAGGCGCGCGAGGTGCTCATCGACAACGAGCACCGCCGGCGGCGGCAGATGAAGGCGCAGATGCAGGAGGAGGGCCGCGAGCAGAAGAAGGAGGAGGAGGAGATTGAGCAGCGGAAGCGCAAGAGGCAGCACGAGCAGGACTGGGAGGCGACGCGGGACCAGCGCATCAGCAGCTGGCGGGATTTCCAAAAGGGAAAGTCGGGCGACGGGAAGAAGAAGAAGAAGATGAAGCCTATTGGTTGAAGTCTGGAATATTCACCACGAGAGGTGCGGGTTGGGCTCTACGATGGGTTTGCATTGTTTTCTTCTTTTCCATCTACAGGCGGGAAGAGGGATGGTGTTTTAAGGAGATCATTCTTCACTACAGTTCGACAGGTCTCGACCACGGATATTCGGGCGCGAAGCATGCGTACAGCATGATTATATCAACGAACCAGTGAGTTTGTTGTTTATTGACCACCGCGGTTATGTCCCTAACCATCTCAGAAGTGCAATGATCGTGCCTCCTCCCTCCAAAATTCCCCCTTGTCCCCTTTCGAGGGCTTTTTTTGTCTACCAGGTAAGCACCTTTCCCTCCCGTTCGTCGTATCGTGGCCATGATTGCTTCATGATTCCAAAAAAAAACATGTACTTTTGACATCTCTGCTCGGAAGCTTCGTGATGTGTTGAAAATCCCAGGAGTCACTCGCCATGCTCCTTCAAGATTCCATTATCCAACCTAGGATCCCCCTTTATGCCTTGTTCTTTTTCTTGTACTGAATGAACCGTCCAAGGTTCAACACAGCCTCCTCAGTACGAGTGCGCAACTCGGGGAGAGTTCGCTTATCAATCGTCTTGACCAAGGCCTTGACCTTGGGCTGAACCGCCTCGAGGTGCTGGATGAAGTTGTCCTTCCA